TGGGGCGTTCGAAATCCCTCTTTCACTCCACCGTCTCCACCACTCCCCCCCCCCCCCAACCAGAGCCTCTTTACTCCCTCCCCGAGTGGTGGCTGAGACTAGGGATCATTAGACCTGTGCTTGTTGCCCGAGGGGCGCTTGGGATTATGACGTCGGCAGAAAGTACACTGCAGTCGATAACAAAAATTTTTTCTTTATCTTTTCTTTTGTCTAATAATTGGTACATTGCAAGAAATAGATGAAATAAAGATTCTTATTGTCGGTAGATAAACCACATTTTGCCTTATGAGATATTTTATTATCGGTAGATAAACCGCATTTTTCCTTATGAGAGTTTTTATTATCGGTTGATAAACCACATTTTTGTTAATGCAATTTTTTACCATCGGTAGATAAACCACATTCTTCCTGATGGGATTTTTAAAAATAATTTCCCACCAGGCCCGAAAATCAAAGGGCAGTTACTCAGAAAATAGACACTAGTCGCTGTACTTACCCAGTCTAACACAAGCGCAAACTGTGAGAAATAATTTGACCTGTTCACTTGCATCACAAAAGTGGGCTTTAAATTTGATAATTTGAATCAGACACTGAGTGTGTGGGGGTAGATCTAATTATTTTTAATGTAATAAGGCGGGAGTGACCTCCCCTAAACTTTATCAAACATTCTTATAAAATACAAATAAGGATGTCAACTAGGGACACACAAAACGACACATTTGGTATAATACTTATATATGAAATTTCGTCAACTTAGCTATAACAGTACTCAAGTTATCGTGTTTACACAGACACACACACACACACACACACACACACACAAAGACATACGGACAAAATTGCAAAACTATGTTTTTCCAACTCCTGGAGGTTTAAAACGTCGAGATTTGTGAAAAGAGATTTGTAAAAATCTTGACTTCGATTTTTTGCACGGTTGATGGTTTCAATACTTCCTCTATAATTCGTATATGAGAAAGTAAAAAAAAAAGAATAAATTACTGTTATGCACTGATGCTAATTCTTCGGAGAAGAAATGCAGAACTGTAAATGAACACTATATAATAGAATCTGATCTGAAACTAGTGAATGGTGCACAAAACAGCAATGAAAAGGTTGCGAATTGGGGTGAAGGAATGAAAACACATTAGGCCCTAGAAATAGTGGAAATAGGTCAAATAGTCACAGTGAAAAAAATCCTAAACATTAGTATGTCAAAGAAAAACAAAACAAGATAAAATGATGAAATGATTTTTTTTTAAATCTGTAATAAATTGGTTTTTTATTAATAAAAAAAAACTAACCATAATTCAATTTAACTCAAAACCAGAGTTTCTTCGAGGAGAGTTTATTGTCTTTAACTTGTGAGGTAAGTAACACTATCTGTGTTATTACTAATTAACCTCACTGCAGCTACCATTTGTATTTATCTTTCACACAAAAGCGATCAAGTATGTTCTGTAGATTAACGAAGAGTATAAAAGGTGTAAAAACTATTGTATGTTAATTAGCAACTGACTAAGTTTACATAAAATAAAATAAAGAAGGCAATAAACAAGAGAAGTTTTACATCGTAAGACTGGGAAATAATTCAAAATATTTATTCCATGTGACGAGACATTTATCAAACAATAGAAGATCTAAATTTTAACATAAACAATTGATACAAACATATTATTAGATATTCATAACTTATGGATATTTTTAAGAATATCTATATATATAATTCTCTTCTTGGAGACACTAGAAAACACCAAGCTGTAAGCGCGCTCCCTACCACCCCCACCCCCACATGGCCTGGTGAGCTGTGGTTCACGCTAAATGATTACAATCGTAGAGCCGGGTTTAGTGACGGCTATTAGGGGCAGATAATTTAGTTTGAAACGATTTTAAACTTAGGGGAGGTAACTAAGAGGAGGCTGCTTTCACGGTGGGGGTGGGGGGTGGAGGGTGGGGTGGGGTATGGGGAAAAGAGGGGGGGTGTCCTTAACGAGATACTGATAGTGTTTTAAAGCAATTATTTTTAGTGGCAGCATTGGTACAGTCGAATTCACAAATTATGAATTACTGAAAAGTAGAAAATAAAACAACTTAATAGCGGCGTATGATACACCGCGGGTCGGCTCGTTTTTTTATATTTTTGAAAATAAGCATAAAAAATACAGAATGCAGGCAGGTGAAAATATTTGGGGTTTTTATAGTTTGTATTTAGAGCCCGAGAACCAAATAATTGTAGCCATAGATTGTAACAAGTTTGACAGAAAGTTATCACAAGGGGATGCTATTCAAATTTCCTCAAGCTACAAAACATTTCCACAGTTACTTCCCTTAGCATGAAAGCTATTGAACAAAATGTAATCTCCAGCTTTGTTGTCGCTAGCGTGGATTAAAGATTCCACTACTATATTATTAAATAAACTATATATATATATATATATATATATATATATATATATATATATATATATATATATATATATATATATACCAAAACTAAGTGAATTGGGCCAATCACCTTGTTAATCCACCAATACTTCCAGCACTAAAATAACGTAACTTTTTCTAGCCCGAACCAAGTCCAAACTGCTCATTTGCATATCAGTTGCCAGGAAAGGGGTTTTTTACTTTATCGTATACAGAGTATAGAGAAAGTATTGGAAATCGTGCGAAAAATCACATGAAATTTTAACAGGTTAACTCTTTTACACATCAGTCTTTCATCACATCCAGAGTATAGAGGACTTATTTTAATCGGGCAAAAATTATAAATACAAATATTAAAAAATATAAATCCAGATATGTAGAAAATTTGGCGTTTGATGCGTGATCGAGTCGGAAAAACTGGACTTTGCAATGCTGTCCGTATGTCTGTGTGTGTGTGTGTGTATGTGTGTCTGTAAATACGATAACTTGAGTACTGTTATATCTAGGTTGATGAAATTTCATATATAAGTATTATATCAAATTTGTAGTTCAGTATCAACTTTTCAGCAATTTACGATAACCGAAAGTTGAACTTTTCTACTTTCAATTATTCAAAAGTCTATAACTTAAAAGTACTGTTTCAGATAGATAAATGAAATTTCACACGTAAGTTAAAGATCTAATTATCTGCCTTCAATCAAATTTTGAGTAATTTCCATTAACCGAAAGTAGTAATTTACGCTATTTCCGATTTCTCAAAAAAAAAAACGCATGTGAATTTATAAAGTACTAATGTTATTCCTCACTATTATGCACATTTTGTTTGGCGTTCACTTGGTTTGCAATTCTTTTTTTCTGAGAGATTTTATTCTATTTTAAAAAGTGTAAGTATTTAAGATGGATTACAAATCATGTCTATATGATTTACGAGTTGCCACCCCCTGTTGTTTTATATAAGAATATTCGAGAAAGTTTAGGGGAGATCACTCCCTGTTTATTACTTTTCTTTTCTTTAGTCAAACAATTGGTACCTTACACGAAATAGATGCGCCATAACGATTCTTATGATGGGTAGATAAACCACGGTTTTCCTTATGAGATTGTTATAAATAATGTCCTACCTAATCAAAGGGCCATAACTTTACCAATTCATTGCTACCCAAAAGGGAGCTTTAAAATGGTTTCAGACACTTTTAGATGTGATTTTATTTTAGTTAATATAAAAAAAACATTAGTGTTTATGGTAGTTTAAACTGATGTTAAAGTTTATCTGGAGATATGCATAACCCTAAATAAACAGAATATAATAGAATCTGATCTAAAACTAGTGAATGGTGAACAAAACGGGTACGAAAAGGTCACGAATGAGGATAAAGAAAGAACATACGGCACCTACTATGCATGTAGTCGAACTAGGTTAAGTTGTCAGCGTGAAAAAGTCCCAACTAATTAGATGCATAATAAAACAAAATCAAAATGATTAAATGATAGATTTTTAATTACTTTGTAATAAACTAGTTTAAATTAATAAAAACCAAATAAACCTAACCATAATTCCATCTAATACAAACCCAAACTCCTGAAATATCACTATAACTTTATCCCTCATGCAAAATGTTTAAGCAATAACACCCTTAACGATACCTCGAACGTAATTAATAATACCCCCCCCCCCCCCATTCCACAATATCCAAACCCTGAATTAAATCTTTTTTTTATCTGCCAATAGTGGTTTATTGTGGGTCTATGGCACTCTAAAGTCTATACCCATTATCAGCTGTCTAAAATCTGTTAGGAGAAACAAAACTTAGATCTATATTAAGTTGAAACTCTCAAAAAGTACACATAAAGGAATGACGTCATGAGTTGTAGATTAAAAAATATAATTGATAGTCAACTGTCGAAAAGGATACACAATAATATTGCCGTCTTTGATAATGAATTATAATGACACAAACATTACCGCCGAATTTATTTGTCTAATATTAAAAGTATATATACAAGAATCAAACGGCAAATAATGACGCAGAAACAGAATAAATAACATTTTAAACATTTCAAATATGAAAATAAGTATGCATAATCAAGGACAAATGTCATAAACTATATTTAAAATATTAAAAAAGTAAACGCTTTGTTTCGTTTCGAATAGAAAACCAAACGCCTGAACGTCTCTGTTTCACTAAACTAAAACAGCAATTATTTAATGACCTCCTTAACTGACTCCTTGCAACATTTCTCATTCATACATCATATTCTAATTTTATCTCATTTTGTATTATAACTATGTGATATTATTTCTTTATTCCAAACTGAGTGCTTAGTTACTGCTATGTCTTTACTACTCAATTCCTTTTTTAAATGCTATTATTACGTTGTTGTTTTTGTTGTTTTGTTGTTGTTTTTAAACGGCCAATGTGAAAAAAGGCCTCCGTGCTTACTGTTGTTACCGTTATTGAATAAATAAACGAATAATTATGATTAAAAATTCTAAAACTGAAAGTGTTTGTCCTATTTACTTTTGGTAATTTTTAATCATACTTTTTAATGATCTTAGTTTTTAAGCTATCCATCTTGTATTTATGCCATGAAGAAGTTACAAAACATTTAAATCTGTTAGTAGGTAAGTATATCAATGATGGGAATAATATTTTATTTTCAGAAGCTGAATGAATGTGACTTAAAACTTTGAGATAAGTTCAATTCTATGTTTGAATAAGGTAAGTGAAAAAGAAACCCGATCGCAAATTTTGATTGTAAACACTAGATCTATGTCTAAATTCTAAATCTAGACATCTACATCTCAATGATTGACGTCATTTAAATGTAAGTTTACAATCAAAACTTGAGGCCGGTTTTGTTATTTGTTCTTGTGTATTTTTGTTTTAGAATGAGTTGTACTCTCCACCGTATTTTAACGTTTGATATCACCTTTAATTATATAGAATGTAGGCTAAATCGGAGTAGGAAAATAAAATTATTCTGAGCTCCATTACTGAATTACCAGACATCGGTACCCGTTTCCCGTGAATTATATTTATAGGCCTATATAATATATTTTAGATTTTGTACTTGATTTAGAAAACTTCCTGATATATAAAATAGTTATTGCACAAAATAAAATTTGTTTTACTACATTAGTGACAAAGCAAAGAAATAAATACATATCTAAAATTCCGACACATTTAAAATAATATAGGCTATTATAACATACCTATTAGAAAAAAATTAAATAAATTATATCTATCTACATTATTAGTCAACACAACACCATATTTCGTAAAAAAAAACTTGCTATTCAGTGGCATGTTTGTTGCTTTTAAACAAAGTTTTTTATAATTTTGACAAATACCCGGTATTTTCTTTATTTCAAATAAACCGGGAGCGATTTCCCCTCAGCTTTCTTGAATATTCTTATATGAAACAACAGGGGATGGGAACTCGGGCAATAGACATGATTTTTAATCCATTTCAAATAATTGAACTTTTTAAAAATAAAATTCAAAGTAAAAACAGTGCCACTTCCAGTTATCGGAAATCGCTCAAAAGTTGATACCGATCTACGATTTTGATAAAATACTTATATACACAATTTCATTAACCTAGCTGTAACGGTACTAAAGTTATCGTGTTTACACACACACACACACACACACAGACACACATACACACAGACATACGGACAAAATTGCAAAGTCCAGTTTTTCCGACTCGATAACGCATAAAACGACAACATGTTTATATATTTGTAATTATAATTTTTGCCCGATTAAAATAAGTCCTCTATACTCCGGATGTGATGAAGGACTGAGGTGTAAAACGGTGAAAACTGTCAAAATTTCATGTTATTTTTGTGCACGATTACAAGACTTTCTCTATACTTCGTATATACGAGAAAGTAAAAATGACAAGCTAGTTCGCGGACTACAAGCAAATGGGTTTGCGGGTTGGCAGGATGATGCTTGGGTGGATGATGGTTGGGTGGATGATGGTTGGGTGGATGATGGTTGGGTGGATGATGGTTGGGTGGATGATGGTCGGCAGGATGATGGTTGGCAGAATGATGATTGGTTGAATTTTGGTTGGCAGAATGATGGTCGGCAGGATGATGGTAAGCAGGATGATGGTTGGGTGGATGATGGTTGGGTGGATGATGGTTGGGTGAATGATGGTCGGCAGGATGATGGTTGGGTGGATGATGGTTAGGTGGATGATTGTTGGGTAGATGATGGTTGGGTGGATGATGGTTGGTAGAATGATGCTTAGGTGGATGATGGTTGGGTGGATGATGGTTGGGTGGATGATGGTTGGGTGGATGATGGTTGGGTGGATGATGGTTGGGTGGATGATGGTTGGATGGATGATGGTTGGGTGGATGATGGTTGGGTGGATGATGGTTGGGTGGATGATGGTTGGGTGGATGATGGTTGGGTGGATGATGGTCGGGTGGATGATGGTTGGGTGGATGATGGTTGGGTGGATGATGGTTAGGTGGATGATGGTTAGGTGGATGATGGTTGGGTGGATGATGGTTGGGTGAATGATGGTTGGGTGGATAATGGTTGGCAGAATGATTGTTGGGTGGATGATGGTTCGCAGAATGATGGTTGGGAGGATGATGACTAGGTGGATGATGGTTGGGTGGATGATGGTTGGATGATGGTTGGGTGGATGATGGTTGGGTGGATGATGGTTAGGTGGATGATGGTTCGCAGAATGATGGTTGGGAGGATGATGACTAGGTGGATGATGGTTGGGTGGATGATGGTTGGATGATGGTTGGGTGGATGATGGTTGGGTGGATGATGGTTAGGTGGATGATGGTTGGCAGAATGATGGTTGGGTGGATGATGGTTCGCAGAATGATGGTTGGGTGGATGATGGTTGGCAGAATGATGGTTGGCAGAATGATGGTTGGGTGGATGATGGTTGGCAGAATGATGGTTGGGTGGATGATGGTTGGGTGGATGATGGTTGGGTGGATGATGGTTGGGTGGATGATGGTTGGGTGGATGATGGTTAGGTGGATGATAGTTAGGTGGATGATGGTTAGGTGGATGATGGTTGGGTGGATGATGGTTAGGTGGATGATGGTTGGCAGAATGATGGTTGGGTGGATGATGGTTGGCAGAATGATGGTTAGGTGGATGATGGTTGGCAGAATGATGATTGGTTGAATTTTGGTTGGCAGAATGATGGTTGGGTGGATGATGGTTGGGTGGATGATGGTTGGGTGGATGATGGTTGTGTGGATGATGGTTGGCAGAATGATTGTTGGGTGGATGATGGTTGGGTGGATGATGGTTGGGTGGATGATGGTTGGGTGGATGATGGTTGGGTGGATGATGGTTAGGTGGATGATGGTTAGGTGGATGATGGTTGGGTGGATGATGGTTAGGTGGATGATGGTTGGGTGGATGATGGTTGGGTGGATGATGGTTGGGTGGATGATGGTTGGGTGGATGATGGTTGGGTGGATGATGGTTAGGTAGATGATGGTTGGCAGAATGATTGTTGGGTGGATGATGGTTGGGTGGATGATGGTTGAGTGGATGATGGTTGGGTGGATGATGGTTGGGTGGATGATGGTTGGGTGGATGATGGTTGGGTGGATGATGGTTGGGTTGATGATGCTTGGGTGGATGATGCTTGGGTGGATAATGGTTGGATGGATGATGGTAGGCAGGATGATGGTTGGGTGGATGATGGTTGGGTGGATGATGGTCGGCAGGATGATGGTTGGGTGGATGATGGTTGGGTAGATGATGGTTGGGTGGATGATGGTTGGGTGGATGATGGTTGGCAGAATGATGGTTGGGTGGATGATGGTTGGGTGGATGATGGTTAGGTGGATGATGGTTGGGTGGATGATGGTTGGGTGGATGATGGTTGGATGGATGATGGTTGGGTGGATGATGGTTAGGTAGATGATGGTTGGGTGGATGATGGTTGGGTGAATGATGGTTGGGTGGATAATGGTTGGCAGAATGATTGTTGGGTGGATGATGGTCGGCAGGATGATGGTTGGGTGGATGATGGTTGAGTGGATGATGGTTAGGTGGATGATGGTTAGGTGGATGATGGTTGGATGAATGATGGTTGGATGGGTGATGGTTGGGTGGATGATGGTTGGCAGAAGGATGCTTAGGTGGATGATGGTTGAGTGGATGATGGTTGGGTGGATGATGGTTGGGTGGATGATGGTTGGGTGGATGATGGTTGGATGGATGATGGTTGGATGGGTGATGGTTGGGTGGATGATGGTTAGGTGGATGATGGTTGGCAGAATGATGGTTGAGTGGATGATGGTTGGGTGGATGATGGTTGGGTGGATGATGGTTGGATGGATGATGGTTGGATGGATGATGGTTGGATGGATAATAGTTGGGTGGATGAGTGGATGAAAGGGGTGGATTTTATTTTAATGACTGATGTATTGATGCAAGTTGTGTGTATGGATGTATTTATGTATTCATATATGTATAAACATATGTACGAATATAAAGATGGACGAATTGATGTGTCGCCATTTTTAGCGATATATCTGTGTGTTTGTGTGTGTGTGTGTCTGTGTAAGAGTGTTAATGAAAATTTTTAAATTTTGTTTTTAAATACGTGTTGAAAACTCACATCACTCCCAGGATCTTTAAAAACCAATCAAAGTATGAATCCACGCCTCAGATATATCCTCTTCATGGCGGGTTTAGCTGTTGTTGGATGGCTAAACCCATTGGCTCTGCTGGTCGGCATCTACTCGGCGAGACACCTACCTGTGTACGCAAAGAAATTGTTGAGCCTCATAGGTTTCAAGAAAGGTAAAAAGAACTCAACTGATGCTAATTATACTCTGTGACTAAACTGCACCTTAAACTAAGGCGATACCTTTAGAAGTGGAAAAGTCCACTAATATGCGTATATATGCGTATACATATATATATATATATATATATATATATATATATATATATATATATATATATATATATATATATGCATGTATGTATATGTGTATGTATATAAGCTCCGAGTCAGGGCACCGCCTCAGTGGCGTAGCTAGTTGTTAAAGGTGCGACCAAATGTGTTGTAGAAAAAATAAAAAGCAGTATTAAAAATACCATCGACATTGCACTTAATCCATCCCCGCTAATTATGTAATTTTTTTTTCCTATTTTTTTTCCTAACACCAAAAACAAAGTAATAAAAATTGAATTCTCCCTCCCCCCCCCCTCGATTTAATTAATGGGTTTTTAAAAGGGGAGTAACTGTGTTTTCCAAATCAAGGTACGTAATGAGTGCTAAAGGACAAAATGCAAATACGTTTCAGACAAAATTAGAAATTTTATAAACGTTGATACACTTTTCTTTTTTAATTTTATGTAATGGTCATAATTGAAACGTATTATTTTAAGTATGTAAAATGAAAATTTGTTTTTAAAGACTTTCAATAGTAATTTTATAACTCATAAATTTAGACCATGAGCACTTTAAAAATCTAACACTTGAATCCATAGAAGTATCTTTTTTTTTCTTTTTTTCTTATATTCCTTTGTAATCTACGACAAACATTTTACATAAATTCAGAATTGAACTTTATATATATATATATATATATATATATATATATATATATATATATATATATATATATATATCTATATATATAAAGCAAAGTGGTCGGGTGCCCGATAGGGCACTTCCCGGCGCCGCAGGCGCGTCAAATTTGGCACTAAGGTGCCTTATGGCGATAGAACACGAGGGCCGGTGACGGTTCGGCAAAAAGTCTACGGAGCGGGGGTCAAAACTGACCTCGACTGACCGGCGCCTTATATGGGCTATATTACGAAAAAAAAAATCCTCCGACGACCCCCCTTGTAATTTTGTGAGGTGGTAGGAGAACACCTTGGGGTGTCACAAAAAACTCGGCATATCTGGGAAAACTTCGTAAAGGGGTCAAAACTGACCAGTTGTATTTCCCTATATAATCTTTGTATTTTATGGGAAAAACAGAGGGTCATTTCAACGCAGACTTTAGGGTACTTAAGCTCAGTATATCTGGCTAATTTTTTGCATGCTCCTAGGTCAATGGCTTGACCTTTAGGGAAAACTGTCGGTTACACTCAAAGCCCTCGACGAGGGCTAAAAAGTGACCGCGAGTGAAATTCTCTTTATATGAGCTCTATTACGAAAAAAAAATTCCTCCGACGACCCCCCTTGAAATTTTGTGAGGTGGTAGGAGAACACATTGGGGTGTCACAAAAAACTCGGCATATCTGGGAAAACTTCGTAAAGGGGTCAAAACTGACCAGTTGTATTTCCCTATATAATCTTTGTATTTTATGGGAAAAACAGAGGGTCATTTCAACGCAGACTTTAGGGTACTTAAGCTCAGTATATCTGGCTAATTTTTTGCATGCTCCTAGGTCAATGGCTTGACCTTTAGGGAAAGCTGTCGGTTACACTCAAAGCCCTCGACGAGGGCTAAAAAGTGACCGCGAGTGAAATTCTCTTTATATGAGCTCTATTACGAAAAAAAAATTCCTCCGACGACCCCCCTTGAAATTTTGTGAGGTGGTAGGAGAACACCTTGGGGTGTCAAAAAAAACTCGGCATATCTGGGAAAACTTCGTAAAGGGGTCAAAACTGACCAGTTGTATTTCCCTATATAATCTTTGTATTTTATGGGAAAAACAGAGGGTCATTTCAACGCAGACTTTAGGATACTTAAGCTCAGTATATCTGGCTAATTTTTTGCATGCTCCTAGGTCAATGGCTTGACCTTTAGGGAAAACTGTCGGTTACACTCAAAGCCCTCGACGAGGGCTAAAAAGTGACCGCGAGTGAAATTCTCATTATATGAGCTCTATTACGAAAAAAAAATTCCTCCGACGACCCCCCTTGATATTTTGTGAGGTGGTAGAAGAACACTTTGGGGTGTCACGAAAAACTCGCCATGTCCGGGAAAAATCGGGAAATGGGTCAAAACTGACCAGTCGTATTTCCCTATATAATCTTTGTATTTTATGGGGAAAACAGAGGGTCATTTCAAAACGGATTTTATGGCACTTACGCTCTTTACATCTGGCTCAGTTTTGGCATGCTTATAGGTAAATGGCTTGACCTTTAGGGAAATCTGTCGGTTACACTCAAAGCCCTCGACGAGGGCTAAAAAGTGACCGCGAGTGAAATTCTCTTAATATGAGCTCTATTACGAAAAAAAAATTCCTCCGACGACCCCCCTTGATATTTTGTGAGGTGGTAGGAGAACGCCTTGGGGTGTCACAAAAAACTCGCCATGTCCGGGAAAAATCGGGAAATGGGTCAAAACTGACCAGTCGTATTTCCCTATATAATCTTTGTATTTTATGGGGAAAACAGAGGGTCATTTCAAAACGGATTTTATGGCACTTACCCTCTTTACATCTGGCTCAGTTTTGGCATGCTTATAGGTAAATGGCTTGACCTTTAGGGAAAACTGTCGGTTACACTCAAAGCCCTCGACGAGGGCTAAAAAGTGACCGCAAGTGAAATTCTCTTTATATGAGCTCTATTACGAAAAAAAAATTCCTCCGACGACCCCCCTTGAAATTTTGTGAGGTGGTAGGAGAACACCTTGGGGTGTCACAAAAAACTCGGCATATCTGGGAAAACTTCGTAAAGGGGTCAAAACTGACCAGTTGTATTTCCCTATATAATCTTTGTATTTTATGGGAAAAACAGAGGGTCATTTCAACGCAGACTTTAGGATACTTAAGCTCAGTATATCTGGCTAATTTTTTGCACGCTCCTAGGTCAATGGCTTGACCTTTAGGGAAAACTGTCGGTTACACTCAAAGCCCTCGACGAGGGCTAAAAAGTGACCGCGAGTGAAATTCTCTTTATATGAGCTCTATTACGAAAAAAAAATTCCTCCGACGACCCCCCTTGAAATTTTGTGAGGTGGTAGGAGAACACCTTGGGGTGTCACAAAAAACTCGGCATATCTGGGAAAACTTCGTAAAGGGGTCAAAACTGACCAGTTGTATTTCCCTATATAATCTTTGTATTTTATGGGAAAAACAGAGGGTCATTTCAACGCAGACTTTAGGATACTTAAGCTCAGTATATCTGGCTAATTTTTTGCATGCTCCTAGGTCAATGGCTTGACCTTTAGGGAAAACTGTCGGTTACACTCAAAGCCCTCGACGAGGGCTAAAAAGTGACCGCGAGTAAAATTCTCTTTATATGAGCTCTATTACGAAAAAAAATTTTCTCCGACGACCCCCTTGAAATGTTGTGAGGTGGTAGGAGAACACCTCGGGGTGTCACAAAAAACTCGGCATATCTGGGAAAACTTCGTAAAGGGGTCAAAACTGACCAGTTGTATTTCCCGATATAATCTTTGTATTTTATGGGAAAACAGAGGGTCATTTCAACGCAGACTTTAGGGTACTTAAACTCAGTATATCTGACTAATTTTTTGCATACTCTTAGGTGAATGGCTTGACCTTTAGGGAAAACTGTCGGTTTGACTCAAAGCCCTCGACGAGGGCTAAAAAGTGACCGCAAGTGAAATTCTCTTTATATGAGCTCTATTACGAAAAAAAATTTCCTCCGACGACCCCCCTTGAAATTTTGTGAGGTGGTAGGAAAACACCTTGGGGTGTCACAAAAAACTCGGCATATCTGGGAAAACTTCGTAAAGGGGTCAAAACTGACCAGTTGTATTTCCCTATATAATCTTTGTATTTTATGGGATAAACAGAGGGTCTTTTCAACGCAGACTTTAGGGTACTTAAGCTCAGTATATCTGACTAATTTTTTTGCATGCTCCTAGGTCAATGGATTGACCTTTAGGGAAAACTGTCGGTTACACTCAAAGCCCTCGACGAGGGCTAAAAAGTGACCGCGAGTGAAATTCTCTTTATATGAGCTCTATTACGAAAAAAAATTTCCTCCGACGACCCCCCTTGAAATTTTGTGAGATGGTAGGAGAACGCCTTGGGGTGTCACAAAAAACTCGCCATGTTCGGGAAAATTCGTTAAATGGGTCAAAACTGACCAGTCGTATTTCCCTATATAATCTTTGTATTTTATGGGAAAAACAGAGGGTGATTTCAATACGGATTTTAGGGTATTTGCCGTCTTTACATCAGGCTAATTTTTTGCATGCTCTTAGGTAAATGGCTTGACCTTTAGGGAAAACTGTCGGTTTCACTCAAAGCCCTCGACGAGGGCTAAAACGTGACCGCGAGTGAAATTCTCTTTATATGAGCTCTATTACGAAAAAAAATTTCCTCCGACGACCCCCCTTGAAATTTTGTGAGGTGGTAGGAGAACGCCTCGGGGTGTCACAAAAAACTCGCCATGTCCGAGAAAATTCGTTAAATGGGTCAAAACTGACCAGTTGTATTTCCCTATATAATCTTTGTATTTTATGGGAAAAACAGAGGGTGATTTCAAAACGGATTTTAGGGCACTTAACCACTATACATCTGGCTTATTTTTTGCATGCTCTTAGGTAAATGGCTTGACCTTTAGGGAAAACTGTCGGTTTCACTCAAAGCCCTCGACGAGGGCTAAAACGTGACCGCGAGTGAAATTCTCTTAATATGAGCTCTATTACGAAAAAAATTTTCCTCCGACGACCCCCCTTGAAATTTTGTGAGATGGTAGGAGAACGCCTTGGGGTGTCACAAAAAACTCGCCATGTCCGGGAAATTTCGTTAAATGGGTCAAAACTGACCAGTCGTATTTCCCTATATAATCTTTGTATTTTATGGGAAAAACAGAGGGTGATTTCAAAACGGATTTTAGGGTATTTGCCGTCTTTACATCTGGCTAAATTTTTGTATGCTCTTAGGTAAATGGCTTGATCTTCAGGGAAAACTGTCGGTTTCACTCAAAGCCCTCGACGAGGGCTAAAAAGTGACCGCGAGTGAAATTCTCTTTATATGAGGTCTATTACGAAAAAAAATTTCCTCCTACGACCCCCCTTGAAATTTTGTGAGGTGGTAGGAGAACGCCTCAGGGTGTCACAAAAAACTCGCCATGTCCGGGAAAATTCGTTAAATGGGTCAAAACTGACCAGTCGTATTTCCCTATATAATCTTTGTATTTTATGGGAAAAACAGAGGGTGATTTCAAAACGGATTTGAGGGCACTTACAGTCTATACATCTGGCTAATTTTTGCATGCTTTTAGGTAAATGGCTTGACTATAAGGGAAAACTGTCGGTTTCGCTCAAAGCCCTCGACGAGGGCTAAAAAGTGACCGCGAGAGAAATTCTCTTTATATGAGCTCTATTACGAATTTTTGTCATTTGGTCTATGAACAGGGGAGGTAACTTTTTAATGTAATAATTTTTTATATTTTGTATACTCTTTTTAAGAAAAGAAACAAAAATCATAAAGTATAGCATTGTTTAAATACATATTTTGTTACAAATTACGTTTTGCATTGTACTGAAATTGTAAAATATAATTGCAAAAGTAATTTAATATAATATTTGATTGATACTATTAAGAAAGCCCTTTTAGTTTTAATAACCTTGCGAGTAATAAGTTTGCGAATATTCCATCAATATTTGTTTGCGTTGTAATTATTCCACTGTATAAATTTAGGCCCTAAGCATTTAACATAACAGCCAATCACCTATTAATTAATCATTCAATTGCTTTTTCTTTTTAAAACCTAAGCGAAGCTAGGCAGTATGCCTAGTATATATATATATATATATATATATATATATACTTATACATTTGGGTGGCGCCAGATTGGAAGTTTCCCCTGGTGCCAGAATGGATCACAAAACCTCTACACAACAACACAAAGACTAGATTCCCCCTTTAACACAACAAACTAACAGATAAAGTTCTTTATTTCAGTTGGAATCGTCCATGGCACCTTGGCGTCATTTCTGAGCTCCACAGCCGACAAGTACAGGGTCGGTAGAAGGTTAATCAGTTTCTTGCAGTCTACTGGCATGTCTAATAAAAGATTTAGGTTATCGATAGCATGTGCGATAGCCGGAAATATAGTTTTAGTACTGGCGAATTTTATTCTGGTACCTCTTCTACCCGACGCTGCCATTGAATATTTGCACGCAAACGATGAAGACTTTGTCGACTTGGAGGGAACGGTGGTGGAAAATGTAAGCAATGCAGTCCAATTGTATGACGGGATTAAAGAGAATTACACATTTGAAAAGTTATACTAATGCTTATTTATCGTATAAAGCGGGAGTGATCTCCCTTAAACTTTCTCGTATATTCTTATATAACAGTAAGATGAAATAGCGCCTTCACTGCAGTCATGTAACTGACTTTTTTTTTTAAATATATAATTTTTACTTTCTCTTATACGAAAAATCAAAATCGAGATTTAACCAAATCTCAACTTTCACTGCTTCCTGGATCGGAAAATCTTAGTTTTGCAATTGTGTGTGTGTGTGTGTCTGTCTGTGAACGCAACAACCGTTACAGCTAGGTTAATGACATTTTATAAATAAGTATTTTATTAAATTTGTAATTCTGCATCAGTTTTTAAGCGACTTCCTAAAACCGGAAGAGGAACTTTTCCTTCTTTCAGTTTTCAAAAGCCTGTAACTTGAGTACTGTTTCTGATAAATGAAATTTCATAAATAAGTAGAATATTCTAACTATCTGTTTTCTTTAAAAAATTGATTAATTTCCGGTGACCGGTAATAGTACTTTATAATGTACTAATGTTGCTGGTCTCTTTGTGTACACTTTTTTCTACAAGATTCTATTCTATTTTTATAAAGCTTAATTATATAAAAATTGACTTAAAAATATTGTCTTTTTCCGAGCTCCCATCCCCCACCCTCAGAGTTTCCATCCCGCGTAGTGTTATATATGAATATTCGGGAAAGTTTGGGGAGACCACTCTCGCCACTATTACATTCTACGACATTAAGAAAAATCTTTAAAAAAATAAACCACAGACACGAGTTTACAAATGTAATAAACAAAATATGTAAGTAACTAGCTTTCTTTTATAATTCAAAACCAAGCAAGATTTTTTATGAAGAAAAAAGTACAGTTTTTCAATCATCCGATTTACAATCATAGACAATATACACACAAAAGATAGCACTTGCTGTTGTTTAATATTAAAGTATAATATAATGTACGTTTTTTACAAAAGAGGAAAAATTGTATGTAATTGCCATATACATAAGAGATATGTTTTGTGTAGAAAGTTTTTAAACAGTATTATCTATCAGGTATAGACAGCAGTAAATTATGTTTAAACGCGAAAAATATATTACATTTTCATGATTTTTATTTTTAATGTAATAGTTAACATGAGCTATACTGTACTTACATATGAGACGTTTCTAATTAAAAAGTGATACAATTAAACACACGCTTTATGAAGAAATAAAATGTTAATAAATAAGTACCATTCTAGTATGGCTTCATTAGCTTTTTAATTCAGTTCTGTGTAATTCCTTTTTTTAATTTTTTGAAATCACGTTTTCTGCTTTTTAATATACAATTTTTTAAAATTTGTGCAAATTTATTAATGCCTTATATTTTCAGTTTTTAAGTTACTTACTTTAATCTTCATATTTTAATTACAGAAAACATATCACAATTTGTACAGACTCTTTGAAGTAGTCGAACTATTATTTTGAAATCATTTTTAAACTATAGAAACAATTTTTTTTTAAATTACGTACAGCTAAAGAAACTATTATCATCTATTGAAGCAAATCAATAGCCAACACATCAGTATCTGATAGTTTCAATACATAAGTATTTCAGTTATCGAGCTGAGAAAATCTCAGTTGGCGAGCCTAGCGATAATAATTAAAACAATACTGCTCTTGTAGTGTTAAGTAAATAAAGTTTAAACAAATTTAGCATATACGTTAAAAAAAATCTTCCAGCCTACCAAATGTTGTCATAAGTTGGGACTAAGTGTGTAATTAAGCGATAGTTCCAGGCAGAGGCGTATCCAGGTTTTCATTGTAGTGGGATATTTTTATTGCTTAATTAGTTTCACAAAACGGTATTCATTTTAAATTTAAAAGAAACAACAATACTTTACTAAGGTCTATGTGACACGTTTGATAACAATTTTGTTTTATCAGGTATCAGGTAATCTAAAACTTTTGTTTGAACTACAACATCCTTTTTCGACGAGGTTTCATTTTAGCGAAACATTAAATTACGTCTTTTAAATCAACATCAGAAGCTAATTGCCGTTCAATGGTAATAACGGCTAAGCTGGACAACCTGTCTTCGTTCCTAGTAGAACGGATGTATGTTTTCAGGAGTTTAAGACGGCTGAAGGATCTTTCTGCTCCGGCACTGCAAATTGGTAAAGTCAGAAATATACGATACAAAGTGGACAGGTTTGGATACATGTAACACAAGCTATCATTAATTTTAGAATGCTCTTAATTGTCACCGCTATTTCAAGAGGTTCATTTTCAGTTGAAACTCCCTTGTTTTCTGTGGTTACTCTAAAAAACTTCTTGGTAAAAATGTTCTAAATGATAAGAATTCCTGCACTACTTCAGTTCCACTTTCAACAACATCCGAGTACGTCACTGCTAATTGCTCCAAATGTATCAAACTGTCATCTAATGCTAAATGTTTTGGGTCTAAGCAACAAAACTTGGAAGACACATCTTTAAAATTTTGAAACCTTGTTGTTACGTCCGGGTTCGATTCAATTCAACAACGATTCGAGACACATATAGTATACTTTTATTTGCACTCAATTCTTCACATAACAGAATAGCCCTCGTCCTTACCGCTACCAACTAACCGCTGACCCCCTACAATCGTTCACTCGCCCTTTTATACCCGCATTCGACCTTGGGATCACTATATATAGCATACAGGGTTTACTACATACTAGGGTGAACTCAACTCACACACGCACTCTCCCCTAAGTTCGAGACTATTCTAACCTATTGTAATCTGACCTCACAATGACTCGTAAAATGTGTGTTTGTACTAGTTATGACAGAGTCAAGTGACACTAAATAAGTTTGAACAATGAATTTTTTCCTAGAGTCAGATATCTGAGTATCCTCTGCACCTTCGTCATGGAATCTTTTCCGTTTGTGTACCCTGTATTGCTTATACTCCCTACGAATATAACATTTCTCAGCCAGCTCAGTTTCTTCGTTCTCAATCGGCTCAAATTCTGATTCAAGTTCATTTCTCCAGCATCTCATCTCATTTTCAAAAATCTGAATTTACCGAAAGGCTGTTAACATATCAATGCTACTCTTCTGTAAATAAATGGATACGTTAAAAGCTTTATGCATAATTCTTTTCCAGAACATTAAAACAACTTAAAACTCAAAGGTCTCCATTGTCACAAGAATACCCTTTCTTTCGGCAATCTGTTTAGAAGTTGAGTATTTGAATTCACCGTCAACTTATCTTCGCAATGCAAGAACTAGTGCTGATAAATTCTGCAATATAGAATCTACTGCTGTCTTTCTAGAAGCCCATCTTGTATCACTAAGTCGTTTCAGTGTTAATGAAAATGCTTCTATGTTGTTGCGTTGCTCCTCTTTCAATATAGAAAGACGAGGTAGACTTCCGGTAAAAAATGTATAAATGCTTTCCAGAACTCCAAAAATAGCTGTTTTTAAATATTTACTTAAACAGCATATATGATAATTAAATTAAAATTATGAGCACATCAGTGTGTAAAGAGTGAATGTGGAGCTATTTCTTTAACTCGTTTTTGTAGGCCTAATATTTCACCAGACAGGTGTTTGCTCCATCGTAGGAAGTGTTTCTTTCAGACTTTTTTCTCCGGGGGGGGGGGGGGCACTTGAAATCTTCGGGGGGGGGGGGGGCGGCAAACTTTCTTCGGGGGGGGGGGGGGCGGACACTGTTAAGAGTATATATTTTCTATATAAATTATAAGGGATGCCTGGAAGAAACTCTGATCGTAGGACTGACCATAGCACATTGTCATTGACGGCCTTAAATCTATGACTGCTGTAAGAAGCGTTTTTAAAAAAATCCTCTGCACAAGCTTCAGTAAGCTCACAAAATTGAATAAATCTTTCGATGGCGTCTCCATGATGAATAACATATCTGACAAAGAAAATTGATCACTTTTACTAATGTCGATAGTTGAATCTACAATCACTGCGAAATACCTAGCTATCTAAATTTCTTCTACTATCTTCTTTAAAATTTGGGCTGATATAGACTTAATTAAGTCGTTTTACATACCCGGACTTAAGTATGTTGCATTTCTGTCAACGAAAATCTTAGATAGGAGCTTAATACGTTCCAAAAAGTTGCCTTCATTTAATGTAACTTCTCCTAAACCTTGGGATTCATTATGGCCCTTTAACGCCAATCCCTGTTTTCCCAAATAGAGAACTGCGTCTATATTCCTTTCTAGTATTACTCTGTGTTTTTCTATTTCCTTCTTTTCTGATGCTAAAATGTCACATATTATGGTTCTGTCTCTATAAAGTCGGAATTTCGTAATTAAAAGTTCTCTCTCTGCAATCTTGTGACTTTCAGAGTTTTCATGTTTGTTAATTTTGCAAAGTTCTTACAACCCAATATTTGATCACCCCAAGTGTCTGACTTGTGTCTAAAATGCCAACAGGCAAAACAAATCATATTATTTTCCTTGAGCGAATATTCTAGCGAATATATTTCCCGACCACATTTTGTATGGTTTTTTTTCTTGTACCAACTGGCACTAAAATGCCGACCAGTTAAATTTTTGGGATAATCTTTATAACTATCTTTAAGGCCTGGTTGACAAGGACCAAACTCAAGTAATGCACGTAATAGATCCGGTGTGACGGGTGTTTCACAAAACAAATAAACCGGGAGTTATCTCCCCTAAACTTTCTCGAATATTGTTATATAAAACAACAGGGGATGGGAACTCGGGATACAGTGATGATTTTTAATCCATTTTAAATACTTAAAATTTTTAAAATAGAATAAAATCTCATAGAAAAAAGAATTGCGCACCAAGCGAACGCAGAATAAAGATGTGTATAATAGTGCTGAATATTATTAGTACTTTATAAATTCACATGCGTTTTTTGAGAAATCGGAAATAGTAAAAATTACTACTTCCGGTCAACGGAAATAACTCAAAATATTACAGAAGGCAGAAAATTAGATATTATACTTACATTATAAATTTATTTATCTACCTGAAATAGTACTCAAGTTATAGGCTTTTGAAAAATTCAAAGTAGAAAAAGTTCTACTTCTGGTTATCGGAAATCGCTCAAAAGTTGATACGGATCTACGATTTTGATAAAATACTTATTTATGAAATTTCATCAACCTAGCTGTAACGGTACCCCAGTTATCGTGTTTACACACACACACACACACACACACACACACACACACACACAGACATACGGATAGGATTGCAAAACTATGTTTTTCCGACTCAGGGAGGTGTAAAACGTCGAGATTTGCAAATACTCGATTTATTTTTTGCACGATTACAATACTTTCTCTATACTTCGTATATACGAGAAAGTAAAAACTATATGTAGAATGTTCCAGATTTGTATCAATTATAGCATTACGTTTGACTGGCAATGCACTGTCAATATCGTCTTTTAAATTGGTGTCTTCTGTCACAGACTGTATTATTAGGTATGTTTATTATATTGTGTTTTACATGAAGTTGCATGAATGTAGAGTACATTGCAAGAAACAGATGCGCCATAACGATTCATATTATCGGGAAATAAACCACATTTTCGGGGTCATCTATAAATGACGTCACGCTTTTTTACGATTTTTACCTCCACCCCTCCCCTTCGTCACACATCGTCACAAAAGCCAGACCCCTCCCCCCACCATAATATGACGTCATACCTCAGTCTACACCCTCTCAAAATTACAATTGAATTTTTCTTAAACCATCGATATTTTTCCAAAAATCATGTCTGAACTCTGTCATTATAGATTATAGAGTATTTTAATCAATTCCTATTACAATTTATTAAATTCGCGAAATAACGGCTAGAACTAGTTTTCTAACATATCTTTTTTATAATGCAAAAATGTGACGTCACACAATCTGAACCCCCCCCCCCCCCCCACCCCTCCCTCCCCCTCACCAAACACCGTCACAAAAATTAAGGACCCTCTACAACCCCTTTCCTTATGAGATTTTTTAGTTATGGGTAGATAAACCACATTCTTCCTTATGAGATTTTTTTTATTATTGGTAGATAAACCACATTCTTCGTTATATGAGAATTTTAAAAATCATTTCAATCCAGGCCGGAAAATCAAAGGGCCATAGCTCAGAAAATAGAAACTAGTCGCTGTACGTACCCTGTCTATCACAAGCGCAAACTGTGAGATATAACATAACCTGTTCATTTGCAGCCCAAAAGTGGGCTTTATATTTGAATCATACACCGAGTGTGTGGATGTAGATTTAATTATACTAAATGAATTAAAGGAGTGACCCCCCGCCCCCTAAACTTTCTCAAATATTCTTATATAACACACACCGTCACTCGAGCATTAAAGTTTTGAAAAGGGGTGGGAAGGTGAATTAGGGGTGTTGTGGTGAGGGTGGGTAGATGTTCCCTTCTACCTGTTGACGCCCAACGCCAATTTATTTTTCTTGTGTCTGATTTAATTTTAGGATATTTTATCTTTTTATATATGTATATTGTTTAGCAGTGCATACATATATACAAGACATGTAGGCCTGATTCTCTCTTTCACTGTGTTACTGTTTGTCTTTTCTGTCTAATCTGTAACCACACTGTTGTGTGCTGACGAAGACCTTGGGTCGAAACGTCAATAGTATTTGTAACTGTCTTTAACGTGTGAGGGAGCTAACACTATCTGTTTTATTACGAATTGAATAAACCTCACTGCCGCTACCACTTGTATGTATCTTTCAAAAAGCAACGATCGGGCATGTTCTATAGATTAGCTATCTGTATAAAAGTTGTAAAATGTATTGTATGTTATTTAGCGACTGACTAAATTAACATAAAATAAAAATAAAGAAGGCAATAAACAGGAGAGGTTTTACATCCTAAGACTGGGAAATAATTCAAAATATTTATTCTATGATGTGTCGAGATATTTACCAATCAATAGAAGACCTAAACTTAACCATAAACAATTGATACATACATATTATTAGAATTACATAAATTAAGGATTTTTTTTATATATTTTTTTGCATTTTGTTAAAAAGCATAAAAAATACAGAAAGCAGGGTGGTGAAAGTAAACATTTGACTTTGAATATTTTTTTAAAAGTTATTACAAAGGGAAGCAATTCAAATTTCCTGCAAGCTACAAAACATTTCCACAGTTATTTCCCTTCACGTGATATTTATTTTTAAAATGTATTCATCAGTTACTTAGTTGTTGTTCCCGTGGATTAAAGATTCCACTACTATATTATTATACTATATAAACTAAACATGTATATATATATGTTTGCGTGTGTGTGCTACGTCAAGTGCCCGAATTAGGTCTACGCGTGCATCTGCTAATATCCGAATTTTGTATTTATTTCGTAGGCGACAGGACAGGCATAAGTCCAAATTAGCAACAGATAAATAATCAAATTTTTATGGTTCTCAATCTTCAACTTATTTTATCATGTATTATGAAATTGTAATGCAATGGTCGTTTGTTATTCTTAACTAGCAGCGATTATTTGTGCTGTTGAAGCAAATGTAGCCTGGGCCGCCGGTCAGTGATTGGTGATTGGTTACTAGTGATATTTCATTAGCGTCCTATTACAAAAATTTGAACAGATGCTCGCGCAGATAAGAAAACTCACCTCTGCTATTGAGTTTTTAGAGAACACCTATCTCTTAGGCGCCTTATATAAAGGTATTTTTAACAAAAGGGTAAATGACGTAGTGGTGATGTCAAAGCATATTTTAACCACTAAACACGAGCCGGGGGGATGCATTACTCACAATGAAATCATTGTCAGAATAATTAAAGCGCCATCACATAGTAGCCTACATTAAATATTATTATTAAAAAAAACAGACAAAATAGCAAAACTGCGTTTTTACGACTTGGGAATATTCAAACCTTCGAGATCTATCAAAATTTTTATTTAGATTTATTGCACGATTACATTCCTTATATAGAAAGAGCGGTGTTAAACAGCGAATACTAAAAATATTTTATATTGTTTGTACGATTACAACACTTCCTAACCAAACCAAAACGGTACTTGTCTTGTAGTCACGGAAATAAATTCAAGTAACACTTCCGTTTACCACTAATGGTTTTAAAGACGATAAAAACGCGCGCATACATTCTACGATTTATTATATGTGAAGTTTTGTCCATCCATCTGAAATGGTACTCTGAACTCGGCTTTGCAGAAACCAAAATTAGAGTGAGTCGCAAATTCCGTTTTCTGGAAATCGCTCACCAGCTGTTAGATAAAGACAAATTGAAAATAATAGGTCTACTTATAATAATATATAAAATGTCATCAACGTAACTGAAACGGTACTTGGGGCTTTACTGTGTTCACATACACACAATCTATACACAGACAGACAGACATACAGACAAGTTTGCCATACTGATTTTATCCGACTGAGCCTATTAAACGTCGAGATTTGCTAATATTTCGCACGATTACAATTTTTCCTCTGTATGCCTACTCAGTATACAAGCAAGTAGTAAACAAAGAAAAAAAAATGTTGCAATGACGCCATCTGAAAAAGAGCATAAAATGTGTAATCACAGAAAATTAAGCACGTCATTTATTCGGCCGTCTAGTAAACAATAATAGGGTTTTTTTGTCCAGCTAACTTTTGAAACCTATATTCCTTAAGGTAGAGGTAGATCTAGATCGTATTTATTTTAATTTATTTTACATTAATATAACTATTTCTTTTAATCTTAACTTGAAAAATAATTGCAGGGTGTTTTTTTTTTATAAATACTGTCTAGATTCTATTTATATCTAGATCTAGAGAAATCTATAATGAGAAGATATGTGAGTATTATGCATGAGTGAATGGGCTTGGGGTTTATGTATGGACTGATATATTTATGCAAGATTTATGTATCCGTTTCTTCCAGGCATCTCTTCTCTGCCCCCCCTCCCCGAAGAAAGACTACCACCCCCGAACAAAATGGAATTTTTATAAGAAAATATATACCTTTAACAGTGTCCGCCCCCCCCCCCCCCTCCCCAAAAATTTCAAGTGCCTCACCGGAGAAAATATTCTGGAATAAACATTGTTATGTATGGATGTATGCCTGCATGACGAATCCATGTGGATACTTTTGTGGATGTGTCTATATGTGTGCCTATGTGTGTATGTGTGTCTGCGTTAGTGTGTGGAGGAATGTGTTTAACTTTTGTTTTTGGATATATTATATATATATATATATATATATATATATATATATATATAATAAAAATACGAATCTCTTCCAGACTTTGTTTTGGAAGAAGTAAAGGTATGCATCCCTACCTTAGAATATTTTTCTTAATGCTAATGTTAGCTGGTGTTGGACGACTGAACACATTAGCACCATTGGTTGGCTTGTACTCGTGGCTTTTCCTACCAGTGGTTATAAAGAAATTCTTGAGTCTTATAGGATTCAGGCAAGGTAAACGAAAATTAACTTAGGCATATTATAACGATCTAAAATTTGTATTTTTACCCATATCCTGATATCGTTGGGTTGCTTGTAAAAGAAATTGCTTAAAATTGTTAACAGAGTTTCTTCCAGGCATCTCTTTCTACCGCCCCCCCCCCCCAACCCCACCCCCGAACGAAATGAAATTTATATAATTTATTTAGAAAATATATACTTTTAACAGTGTCGTCCCCCCCCCCCCCCGAAGAAAGTCTAGCGCCCCCCCCCCCCCGAAAATTTCAAAAGCCCCCCCCCCCCCCCCGAAGAAAAAAAGTCTGGAAGAAACACTGATTGTTAACAACTATTTAAAACACTAAATATGTTTCATTGTATTTGAGAATGGTTGTATTTGTGTTCTTTTTTTTGTTGAAAATAAAAATTTTAATTTAGAAATAAGTTAAAGTGCCGGTTTTACTAGTAGAAATGGCGGGAAAAGAAAACATGCGCACTATTAAGAACATAGTTAAAAAATCTTCTTAAATATTAATATTTTAACAGAAAAATACATTTGAAACTTGTAGCAGTACCATAATATTTCTATCTAAAGCTGACCAGTCGTATTTTCTTATATAACATGTGTAATTGATGTGAAAAATATAGGTTTATTTTTTAAAAGATTGTATGGTAGTTCTGTGCATTTGGCTAATTTTTTCCATAGTCCTGATACAAATGAATCAGCCTTATGGTAAAATTATCGGTCGGCCTATACTTAATTAAAAATTTCCATTTTCAGTTTTTAAAAAAAAAAATTGTGATTTGACATTTTGTATTAATATAAGCATAAGTGTAGCTAGTGGAGGGCGGGGTGGGGGGCAGCGACCTTTAAGGGGTGCCAAACTAAGTAGGATAAAAAATAAAAAAGCTCATTTTGAGCTGCATTACTGCATTATGCACAAAGTTCGGGAAATAGACTATACTTTGCTCTCCTTTTTTAATTAACTGTTATCTACATCAATCGTTTGACATTATTAAGGCGCCCTAAAGTGTGTGTGTGTGTGGGGGGGGGGGGGGATGGGGGGCTTTTTCGCCAACGAGAATAACTATTTTTATACAAGGTAGGGGGCGTAAATATATAAAGTTTGTAAACTTAGCATCTCCATTGCCTGTAACACAAATTCAAGACTCAATACCTCCTCTAACACACCGAACTAACAGATGAAACATTTTTTTTTTCAGTTGGGATCGCCCGTGGCACTCTAGCGTCGTTTCTTCGGTCTAGATCTGAAATGTACGGGGTCGGTAGAAGGATCGTCGGTACCTTGCAGTCCATCGGCATGTCTAGGATCAGATTCAAGTCGCGGGTACGCGGTGCCATGGCTGGGAGCATAGTGCTAGTACTGGTGAACTTTGTTATTGGAAGTTTCTTCCCCGACGCCATCGTTAAAGAATGGACATCAGGGGAACTTCCGATCATTGATGGTGGACGAAATGCTAGTGAAAAATGAAAGCGCTGATGCGCAATTGTATAGCCGCGGGTAGTTGTCTGGTTAGGTAATTCTGTAACTGTCTACACTTAAATACTGTTGCTACCTGGATAAATGCTAATGCTACCCGGTTCGACACTGCTGCTACCAAGTTAGATATGGCTACCACCTGGTTTAATACTGCAGCAGTAAACTTGTAAAGTTTTGTCCTCAAAACCCAGTTGAAAAAGAGTGTGATGATGTATAGAGTACCAAATAGCAATCATTTCGTTCGTATTTCTTCTTAATTATTCTTAATTTTAGTGTTGGAATGGATTCCTTCCAATATAATTTACGTATATGTGTCAACTGGTAACGCGCCGATTTTCTTCAAAGTTCTTTCAAAGTCGTAATGAGACAAAAGTTATAGCTAATAGGGCTGGTAAGTAGGTCACCAACCAGTTCTACGGCTCTTACATGACAGTTTACTTTATCTAGTTATTACTGGTGTGGAAGATGTTTTGAGAAAGGAGGCAAATTAGCGAAATTTTCAACATGGATCAAAACAGTTCATGGTAAAAACCCCATCGTATAAAACCTCAAAGAACATAGGATACAATTTCTGTTGATGATTGGCATATTTATCAAGTAAATAATTGCATTTTATTTGCTGTCTCTGTTAATAATCTTGCTAAAATCTGAATAATATATTTAATTATAAATAGCTGTTATGTATAACCCGTTGCAGATTTTATTATTAAACCGTGTGTTGTTGATTCAAGTTTTGCTTACTTTTGTTATGTTGATGTAGTACATTAAAAAGTGAGCTTTGCTATTTAAAAAAAAACTCTTCTCAAACAATTCGCCTAGAATTAAGTTAGTATTTCTTGTCATTTTTCCACATTCTATTCGGTGATATTATCACGCAATTTAATACTCAAGTCGGTGGCTTTCGAAATACTTGATCTGTATGCCTGAATTGTGCCGGGAAAAGTAAAGGCCTGTGTGTTGTGCCTATTGTGAAATCATAAAGTCCGCATATAATATACCATGGGTAACTGGAGCTTTGACCATAAGTGATTTGACCATATGTGATTTGACCATAAGTGATTTGACCATATGTGGTTTGACCATATGTGATTTGACCATAAGTGATTTGACCATATGTGATTTGACCATATGTGATTTGACCATAAGTGATTTGAACTATGTGGTTTGACCATTGATGATTTTACCATTGGGGATTTGACCATTATTGATTTGACCATTGGTGATTTGACCATTGGTGATTTGACCATTGGTGATTTGACCGTTGGTGATTTGACCATTGGTGATTTGACCGTTGGTGATTTGACCATTGGTGATTTGACCATATGTGATTTGACCATAAGTGATTTGACCGTTGGTGATTTGACCATTGGTGATTTGACCATATGTGATTTGACCGTTGGTTATTTGACCGTTGGTGTTTTGATCATTGGTGATTTGACCGTTGGTGATTTGACCGTTGGTGTTTTGACCGTTGGTGATTTGACCGTTGGTGATTTGACCGTTGGTGATTTGACCGTTGGTGATTTGACCATTGGTGATTTGACCGTTGGTGATTTGACCTTGGTGATTTGACCATTGGTGATTTGACCGTTGGTGATTTGACCGTTGGTGATTTGACCATTGGTGATTTGACCATTGGTGATTTGACCGTTGGTGATTTGACCGTTGGTGATTTGACCATTGGTGATTTGACCGTTGGTGATTTGACCGTTGATGATTTGACCATTGGTGATTTGACCGTTGGTGATTTGACCGTTGGTGATTTGACCGTTGGTGATTTGACCGTTGGTGATTTGATTACCGGTGTCTTGATTACAGGGGTTTTGATTACAGGGTTTTCTTTCTTTCTTCTTCTTCTTCTTCGTTCTTAATTATTAGTGTTGAAGGGGATCGAGGTTTATCTGCCAGTGGGTTTGAACTCGAGACTTTGTTCAAATTTATCAACCATGAGCTTTTTGCCGACTCGACCACGCCTCCAACACAATTAAGCGTTACGTGTCAACTGGTTATGCGCCATTGAGGCCATTGACTCCGATTTCAGCCTGCTTTTCTTTTTGGATTTGCTTCCATAGCCTTTGTCCAACCAAGAACAAACTACAAGTCAGCAGTTGTTTAAATTTGGAGTTGTCTCTCCTAGAAGAGTGGCTGTCCCCAGCTAACGAGCCTCATCTGCCCGAGGGTTCGAACTCGAGACTTTTCGGTTTAGCAACCATGAGCTTTACTGACTCGACCAATCCGAACAGGGTTTTGATTACAGGGGTTTTGATTACAGTGGTTTTGATTACAGGGGTTTTGATTACAGGGTTTTGATTACATGGGTTTTGATTACGGAGTTTTGATTACAGGGTTTTGATTACAGGGGTTTTGATTACAGGGGTTTTGATTACAGGGGTTTTGATTACAGGAGGTTTTGATTACAGGAGTTTTGATTACAGGGTTTTGATTACAGGGGTTTTGATTACAGGTTTTTGCTTGCAGAGGTTATGACTACAGGGTTTTGATTACAGGGTTTTGATTACAGGGTTTTGATTACAGGGGTTTTGATTACAGGGTTTTGATTACGAAGTTTTCATTACAGGGGTTTTCATTACAGGGTTTTGATTACAGGGGTTTTGATTACAAGGGTTTTGATTAAAGGGGTTTTGATTACAGGGGTTTTGATTACAGGGGTTTTGATTACAGGGGTTTTGATTACAGGAGGTTTGATTACAGGAGGTTTGATTACAGGGTTTTGATTGCAGGGGTTTTCATTACAGGGTTTTGATTACGGAGTTTTGATTATGGAGTTTTGATTACAGGGTTTTGATTACAGGGGTTTTGATTACAAGGGTTTTGATTACAGGGGTTTTGATTACAGGGGTTTTGATTACAGGGGTTTTGATTACGGGGGTTTTGATTACAGGAGGTTTGATTACAGGGGTTTTGATTACAGGGTTTTGATTACAGGGTTTTGATTACAGGGTTTTGATTACAGGGGTTTTGATTACAGGGGTTTTGATTATAGGGGTTTTTATTACAGGAGGTTTGATTACAGGGGTTTAGATTACATGGGTTTTGATTACAGGGATTTTGATTACAGGGATTTTGATTACAGGAGGTTTGATTACAGGGTTTTGATTACAGGGGTTTTGATTACAGGGGTTTGATTACAGGGGTTTTGCCGCAAGGACTGTCCAAAAAAAAGTGGAGCTAGCATCAGACTAAATTAACATAAAATAAAAAATAAAGAAAGCAATTAAATAGAATAGCTTTACATCTTAAGACTGGGAAATAGTTAAAATATTTATTCTATGGATTGTCAAAATATTTACCAATCAATAGAAGATCTAAACTTAAACATAAACAATTGATACATACATATTATTTTTGAAATAAAATGTTTTGGCATTTTGTGAATAAGCATAAAAGAAACACACAAAGTAGACAGGTGTAAACATTTGGGGTTCTAATATTTTGTATAAAGAGCTCGAGAACGTAACAAATTTAAAAAGTTAAACAGAAATTTATTACAAGGGGATGCAACTCAACTTTCCTGCTAGCTACAAAGAATTTCTACAGTTATTCCCCTTTACATAATATTGATTGAGATCTGTCAAAATGTCGGTTTAGATTTCTTGCACGAATATAATAAGTTCTTTTATACTAAGTAAATAGAAAGAGACGTATAGAACTAGAACAGTGAAAACTAAAAATCACATTTGATTGGGGTTAGGATGCAGCACTGTCAATGTGACATTCGGGTTAGGATACAGCACTGTCAATGTGACATTGGGGTTAGGATACAGCACTGTTTATGTGACATTGGGGTTAGGATACAACACTGTCAATGTGACATTGGGGTTAGGATACAGCACTGTTTATGTGACATTGGGGTTAGAATGTCAATGTGACATTAGGGTTAGGATACAGCACTGTTTATGTGACATTGGGGTTAGAATGTCAATGTGACATTAGGGTTAGGATACAGCACTGTTTATGTGACATTGGGGTTAGAATGTCAATGTGACATTGGGGTTAGGATACAGCACTGTCAATGTGACATTAGGGTTAGTATACAGCACTGTTTATGTGACATTGGGGTTAGGATACAGCACTGTCAATGTGACATTGGGGTTAGGATACAGCACTGTCAATGTGACATTAGGGTTAGGATACAGCACTGTCAATATGACATTAGGGTTAGGATACATCACTGTCAATGTCACAGATGGACGGGATACAGGAATATAAATTTCACGTTTAGAAAATTCAACGCAAAATTCCTAACTAGAATTTCATAAATAGAAAGTAAATTTACAAAACAGTCTCCTGTTCTCTCCAGGAGGTCCGTGCTTACAATCAAGCTCGCTTGTTCAATCGTACACATGGTCTCTGTTTTCAAAGGAGTCCTGCAAGGAAAGACGTGACAATATTTGTTGACGCAGACCATTGCTTGCTTTTTGGATAGACCAACACTCGCGTGGGGTCCCGTTAGGGTCAAGTGTGTATCGGTTGGAATGGGGTGCTAACTTGTTTCCCTTTGCGCTTTGTAGGTGGTGTCAAACTTCCTACCGGGTTCAGTCGTGGGCCGCTTAGGTACTCACTAGTTCGAGTCACAGTATGAGACCCTGCGGGTTTCACGTGAGAGGTATCTGATGCGAGCTCCACTTTTTTTTTTTTGGACAGTCGTTGCGGCCTAAGGTGTAGCCGTCATCTTTAAATTAGAACGTGCAAAGTAGATTTCAAGGTTATAATAACCGTAGGTGTCAGAGCGGATCAGCTTTCACTGTTAATAAAAGATTGTAGGAAAAAATTCACAAGAAAAATGTCACAGGAAAACGTCACAGGAAAAAAGTCACAGGAAAAAAGTCACAGGAAAAAAGTTACACAAAAAAAATGACAAACTACCAGGTTATACCCGTTAGTAGAAATTGTACCACGTCGTCGTGGAGGTCCGCTTAGGTTTCCTTTGTTCCCTAACCCGTTGTGTAAAATAAACTGTCGCTGAACAACATGCTTTCTTGAACGTCCGCGCCCAAAGAGAGCCTTTTGCCCTCCAAATACACGATGAACAACATGCTTTCTTGGACGCCCACGTCTAGGGAGAGTCCTCCATACACACGATCGCACTCTCCCAGGTCTATAAGTGGCTATACCGATGACGTCACACATCTTTCACAAAAAGTCAGACCCCCTCGCCCCTAAAATGACGTCACACTCTGTGTTCTTCTTTTACTTTAATTACCAAAGGTTGACACATTATTACATAAACGCTTGCAGTATATGTATGTGTTAGCATGCGTAGGTACATTATACAGCGAAGCAATGGCAAGTTGAAAGGATCCTTTTAAAATATTGTATTCAGGTAAATGTAGGCGGTCCTTGCAGACCTGACAACGCATGTGTAAATAGCAGTAGGCCAATGGTATTTGTTATGTATCATAGTAGGCGCTTGTACCATTGTGCTTTGATGATAGAGGCTTTGGCCGTGGTGGTCTGACAACATCGGGGTTTGATCACAGGTGCTTTGTCCATACATTGTAAGAACAACCTTAATAAAGGATTAAATGTTGCGTAATTTAATTTTAATGTGCGCAGCATGATGCATTAACATAATTACCCATCATGTATTTATATATATATATATATATATATATATAAATATATATATATATATATATATATATATATATATATATATATATATTATACATAGGCAAAACTTATTTAAACGCCCTGTTTCACACAAATTAATTGCTAAAACATATGTATAAGAAAAAAAAAAACAATTAACTAAAAGTGACATATTAATTTATTATCAGTTGCATACACTTTACAAGTACAAATCAAAATCAAATTAAATTCCAGTTTGCGAGCGTATTCCCATTCTATTGAAATTGCTGTCCACGAGCCTATTTTGTACTTTCCGACATAGCCCCACACCCTCTTAGAAAATTCCAAGTGCTTAACCCTCCCCCCTCTCTCCCGGGAGAAAAAGTCTGGAAAAAAAACCACTGAAAAAAACCACACTTCTTGGAGTGTTGGGCTCTTTTCAGACCTCCAAAGGTGAGTTCCGAAACGGATGTTACCTGTCTATAGTTTTAATTATAAATGTCTATATTGTGTGATTATGTAACGATTTTTTTTTGTTTTTGAAAAATAAAACGTAATAAATGTTATAGATTCCTGCCTACAATTGTTATATATGAATCCTTTAGGAGAAGGTGAAAAATATGAAAATGACAATTAATTAGATCAGGGGTCTCCAAACTACGGCCCGCGGGCCGGATGCGGCCCGCAAGGTCCTCTCATCCGGCCCGCGGAGATCTTTTTGTCCACGGAAAAAATGTCTGTTAAGGTGACTGAGGAACTTTGCCCAGAACATTCAAAACAATTTGAGCATGTAGCTTTGGGTGCAAATACCGTCGTCCACCGTGTTGCAGACATTGGTGAAAACATCATGACTCAAATAGCGACAAATGCAAGCACGTTTCACTATGTTTAATTACAATAGATGAGTCGCTGGACAGCTGCTTGTGTTCATTAGGGGTGTGGATGAAGACATGAAAATAACACAAGAGCTGGCTTCCCTACATAATATGTATGGCACTGTTACCGGATAGGATACATTCAATGAGTTTAAGAAAACATTTGCTGATTATAACTTGGACAGGACTAACCTAAGTTACCTGACTGTTGATGAAGAATAGTACATGAGTGGCATAAAGAAAGGCTTGGTTGGACAAGCGAATAAGGAAAATATTCTACAACCAATGCTCCTGCACTCTATTATTCATTAGCAAGCTTTGAGTGCTAAATATATGGACATTAGCAGTGTACTGAATCCTGTGGTGAAGATGGCGAATTTAATGAGGTCACAAGGGCTCAACCATAGATATAGAATACGTGAAGAATAATTTGAGAGCAAACTTGGACCTTGAGTGTGTTGTCGGCCCTCGACAGTGTTTCTTTCAGATTTTTTTTTTCTGGGGAGGGGGGCGGCACTTGAAATTTGTATATATTTATATATAAATTATATTTTGTTGGGGTGGGGGGGGGCCTGGTGGTGGACGTTTTTCGGGGGGGGGGAAGGGGGGGGCATCCATAACACCGAAGATATGCCTTGAAGAAACTCTGGCCCCCGAACTGATATTTGATAGTTAATGCGGTTCTTGGTCTGAAAAGTTTGGAGACCCCTGAATTAGATGATTAATTTGCGACTAAGACGATTTTAGACGAATTTGTTGCATAATGTATGTCTACCAACATTCAGAGGCGGAACTACCATACCGCCAGACCCCGCAATGCGGGGGGGCCCAGGACGGTTAGGGGCCCAGTTCCGACCAAAAAACAATGAATTTTTTTTTTCAAAAATTATGTTTTTCATGCATCTTGAAAGTGGTTTTGTAAAAAAAAACAAAAAAAAAGGTCTACTATAGCAGCGATTGTTGCGTAGAAAAATAATTTAAAATCTACAAGAGCTATAGTTTGAAAGGTAGGTAAACATTCACACTACATCCATGACTTACTGCCCTTCTTTAAAATAGGAATGCCCACGAAGCTCATTTAAATAGTTTTGTACTATGTATATTAAAAAGCAATTGATTCTCTGAATTGTTACTTAAATAAAACGTACTATGCAATAGTATAGCTATAAAATTCAATGTTTTCAAAATTGATATTATAAAAGCCAAAAATGAAAAAAATAAACATAACGCGAGAAACCATTCACGAACAAGCTAACGTCTTTATATATTTTTGACCAGCATATTTATGATAAATGTGAGGTTCAACACCAGTTTGGAATAATTTTTTTCTGTTTTTTTCTCTCAGAATGGTCAAATATTGCAAAGAAGTAGACTAAATTACTCAGTTAGGATATAGATTATATATATATATATATATATATATATATATATATATATATATATATATATATATATATATATATATATATATATATATATATATATATATATATATATATATATGTATGCATAGGGGGGCCTAATTTTTTTCTTTGCGGGGGAGCCTTTTTTTTCTAGTTCCGCCACTGCCAACATTAAGTATTGCAATCTACAACGGCTACTGATATATTTGTTTTTCAACTTGATAATGCTAAAAAAACCTACCAAACTATTTCGTTTAGAACTTCTGCTCTATATAATTTTTACAATAGCAAATAATAACTTGTAATAAGTTGTATTTATAAGTAAGCGGTCAACCTAAGGTGCTAGAATTTGAAAAAAAAATGTAAAGTTAAGCAACGAATTATCTCCCATTGAAAATCAAAATAACAAAATTTTATTCAAGGGAAATAACTTCTATAAGAATGGCTAAATTAACCAAGTGTAACTAAGACATGCTTGAAAAACACAATAAATCGCTCTAAATTTCATTACGTAATAATTGTAAGAAATATTTTATATTAGCTATGTAACTGTTTAAAAAGAACATATTTTACTCATTCAATATGTAACTGTATGTTTTGTTTGAAAGTATAAACACATTAGCTTTATTATAACACACTTCTAGTCAATTTTGATGACATTCAAATTAATTGTGTATTTTCTAACAGGCTCATTTTTTTAATTTTTGGATCCCCTAAATAAAGGGACGTCTATCTAAAAAATCAACTACGTGTAACTTTCTGAGACATTGCTAGTAAATCTATTGATTAAATATAAAAAAATATAATTTGAAAAAACAAAGTTTACGATCAGTTATAATCAGCTAGAGAACGCCTACCTTTCTTTGTAGTGTGTTCCGTCCTGAATTGAAATCATCGAACTTACGATAAACTTGACTACTCGATATACTCTACTACATTCAAAACACATATCAAACTTCGATACCTAAACATAACTAGACTCGATGCTCCAGAACTACAACACCAACTCACTAAACTTCACCAAGCTCTACAAACGGTACTCACAATCAACAACGATATAACTGGACCTAGTACTACGCGTTAACAGTCAACACAATTTGATACCACAAGACTCGATACTCCTGAACTCCAGAACTACGATACCTCACTACCTACATTTTCATTTCTCTACTACCAATCAGATTCCACTAGACCTTCAACTTCGCAACAGCCGTTACTCCCAAATCTAAAATCTAAACGATTCATCAAAACTTATCAAACAAGTCCAATACTTTTAATATCCCCGTCATTACAAAATTCAATACACCAGAAGAGATTTATAATACAAAGTCAGAGAAAACGTGACTTACAAGTTCAATTAAAAACCAAAATTGCACGTGTTTTGGAACGTCCCGTCATGAGCTGGAGCGTTCACTAAATCAACATTAAAATTAGATAACCTTTTGAAATGTTCTAAATTTAAATTAGAAACTTATTTAATCGTTCTCTACATCAATTATGTGACACCAAAATAAAAAGGCAAAGTGACTGGTAAAAAGCGCCCCAACCTTTCTAAATTAGGAAGGTGGGGGCTGCATTTTCACCATCGTGAGTAAATTTAGGCCTATATACTTATAGACCTAATTTTGGGGTGGTGGTGGTGCAAAATTGATAGTTCGTCCTGGGCGCCAGAATAAATCGCTACTCCTTGTATATTACCATCTATATTTTATAAAATATAATCGAAGTTATTAATTATTAGGTACTTTTTATAATAATCGCGATTAAACCTTTTTGCGCCCCTCTAGGGATGGCGCCCTAGGCGGCCGCCTAGTTCGCCTTACAGTTAGCGCCGGCCCTGTATACCTTGAAGGTTTGTCGTAACATGTGTTAAGTTTGTGGAAATGTTTGATTTATTTAATTTTTTTTATTTATTTTTTTTTTATTTATTTATTTGTCTATAATTTAATTATTTATTTGTTATTTTTTTTAATCTAAATCTAGTTTTAGATATAGTCTATAGGCCTACATCTAGATAAGTAGACTCAAGTTTAAACGAAGAAAATAAATGTGAAATTAAAATATGAACTTCAAGATTTCATAAAAATACAAACCATTAATGTTATAGAATACGTTGGATAAAAAAAAATGTCAATAAAACAATTTATTAATTAATTCATTAAATTTCATTTGAAAACTAATATTCGAAGTGTGGTAAGAAATATTCTTTTAATTAAATAGTATACTGCGATACTGAATTATCATCTGAACAGGAAGTTTACGTTGCCAAGACAAATATGGTGGCAGCATTTCAACGCTCACGGTAAAACGATTCTAAGTTGCAGGCCAAAAACGATTAATGTATCAGTTTTTCAATTAAAATTATACTGGACAAATTTTTAAAACAAATTTATGTTTAGAACACACACAAATAACATCCACACTAGATCTAGGTCTTCTCATATTTTTATTGTTTTCAAAATAGTACCAATCATTCATTACCATCACAAAAAATTATGAATTTAGTACTGTAGTAGTACAATAGTAGTGACTAGATTACAGTTAATATTAGTTATAGGCCAAATAAGTTATTAATAACATTCATATATAATCTATATTCAGTTATATAGCCTAATATATATTATAATATAGGCTAGGCCTAACAGATTTCTAAATCTAATTTTGCAATAATAAATAGGCCTAGGCCTAATGTAATTTAAATTTTTTTTTAGTTTTAAGCAAAATAAAAATCATAGGCCTATTCTTAGTCATCATTATAATATTGTTAAAGTGTTATTAACTTATTAGACCTTTTTAATGATAGGCATACTTAAGATAATTTTTGTAACATTACATAGCCTAAATAATGTTAATAATGTTTAGTCCTTGCATATGTACTATAAATATATTACTATTATGCCTATAAATTGCTTTTCAGTATAAATATTTTATCCTGCTAATCAACACATAAAGAAACACATAAAGAAATGGCTTCCAGTTCTGCGGAGACTGACGCTGAAGTCATCACAGCCAGACGTACAGAATCACTCGATGCCCCCCACATTGTGAAGCTTGTGGCCCCATGGACAGAAGATTTGTTTGGCCGAGTGAACATTGTGAACATTATGTAAATAACTATTGTTTTAGTTGTTTACTGTGTGTCTTTGCACTGTCTCTTCAGTTTTTATTTTTAAAGATACTTTTATTAGTCCTTTGGTGAATAGCTAACTATAGTTAGGATACAATACACATCAAATGATGATATAGGCTGTATATATATAATTTAGTAACAATGTTATTTCTAGTTAAAGTTAGGGTTTGCTACCAGAACTCATTTTACATTTAATCGGCTTATATTTTTATTTTATTTAGAAAATAATTGAGAAGGATAATTTTTTTTAAAGAACATTATTAAAATAGTATTATGATAATTAAAATATGTGGTATAGTTTATTTAGATTTATGCTAATAAAAAGTACATGGCAAGGCTTATGATACGGATTCGAGTTGATGAGTTTAATTCATAGTTCCAATTGAGATTTTATAATATAATTAGAGTTAGTTTGGCATAAGTCTAAGCCAGTTTTATAATATTTTACTAAAATGTTGATGGTTAGGCTTATGATAAGGATTCGAGTTGATAGTTCCAATTAGGATAGCCTACTTAATAATATAATTAGTGTTAGTTAGGCATGTGTCTAAGCCAGTTTTATAATATTTTCCTGGCGAAAAAGCTGTTCTGGCTATCACTTATGATAAGGATTTGAGTTGATGAGTTTAATTCATAGTTCCAATTGAGATACTTACTAATGTAATTAGTGTTAGTTAGGCGTATGTCTAAGCCGGTTTTATAATATTTTCCTAGTGAAAAAGCTGTTCTGGCTCTCACTTATGATAAGGATTTGAGTTGATGAGTTTAATGCATTTATAGTTCCAATTGAGATACTTTATCATGTAATTAGTGTTAGGTAGGCGTATGTCTAAGCCAGTTTTATAATATTTTCCTAGTGAAAAAGCTGTCCTGGCCATAACGTTGTGCAATAAGGAAGACGAGATCATGGGCCACGGAGCTTTCCTGGACTACCCCAACATCCCCACAGTGGATCAGGCTGAATGGGAGACATGGTACTCAGAAACCTACGGAGGAGAACAAGTAAGAATTAGATATTTTGTTGTTATGTCACATGGGGGTATTTATTGATTAGCCAGACCCAGTGGCATCACTCGGTCGGGTGACACAGGGTGGGATAAATTAGGGTTACCCCCCCCCCCCCCTCCAAGAAATGTTCACCCTCAGTTTGATGTTACCCTTCTCCCTACTATTTTATTATTTTATTACTGGGATAAAACATTGTTATGACTGTAGTTTACTTTTTTTTCCAATTTGTTGTCAACCTCTGAAATGGTGTCCCCCCCCCCCCACCCCCCCCCCCCCCCGAAATGGTGTCACCCAATGTAGTGAGCACTCCCAGCCCCCATCTTGTAATGCTACTGGCCAGACCTCCAAATTCACAATCATCTAGTTGATATTATGGACATTTATGCCACACATTTATATTCTAGCACATAAAGTCAGTCATTGAAACAGTTGAATTCTAATTCATTTGCCCAATGTGTGTTTGACACCAACTGAAACTAATGTTAAACGTCAATCACTATCTTATGTGATTTGTTCTGTGGTTATATGTTGGTTCAGTGTATTGAGTTGTCTTTATATGTGTTATAGATCTAGCTGTAGCAAGGACTAAGTATTTAAAAATTGGGATAGTAAAATGGCAAAAACAATAAATGCTCCTTGATTAAAAATATATATCAACTATTTTAACACCAATGTTTTATATATTCTTACAGGATAGGTAAATATTTGTTTAAAAATCAAACCATTTTTCTTAATCATGAACAAATAACTTAATTCATTTGAGCAATTAGCTATTGTGTTAATGCTGTTAATGACATTGTATTGGCTGCTTATTTAAAATGTTTTATTTGAAACTTTCCAACAGAACTGATTATTAAACACCCTGTTTCTGCACTAAAATGTTTTAAACTCTCCAATAGAACACATCTTTGAATACCCTGTTTCTGCATTAAAATGTTTTAAATTCTCCACCAGAACACATCTCTGTATACCCTGTTTCTGCATTAAAATGTTTTAAATTCTCCACCAGAACACATCTCTGTATACCCTGTTTCTGCATTAAAATGTTTTAAATTCTCCACCAGAACACATCTCTGTATACCCTGTTTCTGCATTAAAATGTTTTAAATTCTCCAACAGAACACATCTCTGTATACCCTGTTTCTGCATTAAAATGTTTTAAATTCTCCAACAGAACACATCTCTGTATACCCTGTTTCTGCATTAAAATGTTTTAAATTCTCCAACAGAACACATCTCTGTATACCCTGTTTCTGCATTAAAATGTTTTAAATTCTCCAACAGAACACATCTCTGTATACCCTGTTTCTGCATTAAAATGTTTTAAATTCTCCACCAGAACACATCTCTGTATACCCTGTTTCTGCATTAAAATGTTTTAAATTCTCCAACAGAACACATCTCTGTATACCCTGTTTCTGCATTAAAATGTTTTAAATTCTCCAACAGAACACATCTCTGTATACCCTGTTTCTGCATTAAAATGTTTTAAATTCTCCACCAGAACACATCTCTGTATACCCTGTTTCTGCATTAAAATGTTTTAAATTCTCCAACAGCACATCTCTGTATACCCTGTTTCTGCATTAAAATGTTTTAAATTCTCCACCAGAACACATCTCTGAATACCCTGTTTCTGCATTAAAATGTTTTAAATTCTCCACCAGAACACATCTCTGAATACCCTGTTTCTGCATTAAAATGTTTTAAATTCTCCACCAGAACACATCTCTGTATACCCTGTTTCTGCATTAAAATGTTTTAAATTCTCCAACAGAACACATCTCTGAATACCCTGTTTCTGCATTAAAATGTTTTAAATTCTCCACCAGAACACATCTCTGTATACCCTGTTTCTGCATTAAAATGTTTTAAATTCTCCAACAGAACACATCTCTGTATACCCTGTTTCTGCATTAAAATGTTTTAAATTCTCCACCAGAACACATCTCTGAATACCCTGTTTCTGCATTAAAATGTTTTAAATTCTCCACCAGAACACATCTCTGTATACCCTGTTTCTGCATTAAAATGTTTTAAATTCTCCAACAGAACACATCTCTGTATACCCTGTTTCTGCATTAAAATTTTTTAAATTCTCCAACAGAACACATCTCTGTATACCCTGTTTCAGCATTAAAATGTTTTAAATTCTCCACCAGAACACATCTCTGAATACCCTGTTTCTGCATTAAAATGTTTTAAATTCTCCAACAGAACACATCTCTGTATACCCTGTTTCTGCATTAAAATGTTTTAAATTCTCCACCAGAACACATCTCTGAATACCCTGTTTCTGCATTAAAATGTTTTAAATTCTCCACCAGAACACATCTCTGTATACCCTGTTTCTGCATTAAAATGTTTTAAATTCTCCAACAGAACACATCTCTGTATACCCTGTTTCTGCACTAAAATGTTTTAAACTCTCCACCAGAACACATCTCTGTATACCCTGTTTCTGCACTAAAATGTTTTAAACTCTCCACCAGAACACATCTCTGAACACCCTGTTTCTGCACTACTTCGTGTCCAAACAAAGCTATGCTGTGGGCTGCGCCCAAGAGATCATCAAGACAGCTTTTAACGCTGTACCAGATCTTCACTTCCTGTTCTTGGCTGTACCAGATGGGCATGTTCCAGGTAAAAAAAATATTTTTACAAAGTCTTTTTCTTATAGCAAATATCTGGTCAGCCATGAATGATGTCTCACTCAAAGGGGATGGGGGCAGAGGGTGGGGAGGGGGGGTCCGGTTTTTTGTGACTATGTGTGATGAAGGGAAGGGTGGAGTTAATAAAGTGTCATGACACACTTTTATTTAAACAAGGTATTTGCTAAACACGATTTCAGTATTTTTTTGTTTCATTTTAGAAAGTATTCTGTAAATTATTATGAAAATTGATCAGTGAATCTTACAGTGATCCAGATTCACAAAATAAAAGTTTCAGCACTACAAAATATTAATCATGGGCCTAATTAGTTAATATTTTCAGTTAATATTTAATATCGCTAGCTTGAAGGTGTTGTAATTTTTTTTGGATGGTGAGAGGGTTTCCAACTTTTTTTCACTTTTTTCTCCAATATGTGACAACCGAGGCAGGGGAAATAAGCACAAAAAAATTTGTGATGTCTGTTATTCTTAAGGCTAGTTTATAAAATTGGTTATTTTACATACAAAAATTTCAAATTTTGTTTTCTTACAGAGTATTCTTTAGTATTTTAAACGAATGGCTGTATCAAATGGCTTTAAATCCTTCTTTTACATCTCTTTTAATTTACCTTAAAATCTGCTTCAGTCCCGCAGTGGCCAGGGTTGGGGTAAAATATGCCCCTTTTCTAAGTAACATCAACTTCACTGCTATGCTGTGCAATGCTCCTAGTTTCAAATCTTATTACTTATCATTTTAATGAATAAATGTGTTTGTCGAGCTCTTTCAAGATGTTCTCTTTCTTATTCCTTTGTGGCCCCTGGGGATCAGAAAGCGGGTGCCACACCTCTCCACCAACCTCAGTTTAGGACAGCTCTCTATATTTGCACCCATGTGAGCTCGCCAGCCCTTGTGTCACCATTTAATGTCCTTTTCCATGATTCCCTTTGCTGGCCTTACTTTCCTCTTCCCCTAGGGATTGTAACATTTGAAATCCTACACTCTATTCATTGCTAGTTGGTTCCTTCAGAAATCATACTTTTAAATGTCTAACGTTTTTCTTGTGATGTTATCCTCTGCCCTTCTCCTCCTCTCCCCCACCCCAGATGCATGCCTAGGGGGGTTGTTTGCTACCATGGAGAAAGTGAAGCCGTCCACTGAGGGGTACTCACTGTTTGTGTGCAAGCGTCATGAGCATGTAAGGACTCTACACATCAGGGAAGCTTTGTAAGTAAACACACTGTATCATTTAAACACAGTGTTTGTTGGTGTGTTATTTAAACACTCTGTTTGTTAGTGTATCATTTAAACAAGCTGTTTGTATCATTTAAACTAGCTGTTTATATCATTTAAACATGCTGTTCGTATCATTTAAACACACTGTACCATTTGAACACAATGTTTGTTAGTGTATCATTTAAACACACTGTTTGTATTATTGAAACACACTGTTTATTGTTGGTGTATCATTTAAACACACTGTTTGGTAGTGTATTATTTGAACACGCTGTTCTACAGTTTTTAAACATGCTCTTGTATTATTTAAACATGAATTTCTACAGTGTTTAATCCTGTTTTTTTTTTATCCAATCACTTAGCTGTTAAGGCTGAAAATTGTTTCTTTCTTTTTTTTTTTTTTTAAAATAAAAAATGTTTAATTGCGTATATAAATAAAGTAGGTCCGATTCCTTTTACAGAACTGATGTTCATTTGTAGCCGGTGAAGTAGAGTTAATCTGTTTTCTTGATATTTGAACATGAAGGAATTGTCTGATTAGCTCTATGCTCTCACATCTTCACTTTTTATTACTAAAATATACTGACCTTTCAAAATATCCTATGGACTTTATTGAAATCTAGACTTGCACATTTAGTTATTGTGTACTCTACCTCTCTATGACTCTTTACTATCTATGAGCATTCTTCCCATTTGGTCATTCTTTCTATTTGGTCAATTTTCCCATTTTGGAAATCTTTCCATTTGGACAACCGTCTCATTAGGATAATCATCCTTCTTGTTATTGTCCATTAGGACAAACAGCCTTTTGGCAAACATCTTCCAGGCTAATGTCTGGCACTGAAAGTTTTAACACCAGTTCCTTCTCTAGCAGAGTTTCTTCCAGGCATCTCTTTGTCCACCCCCAAAATATAAAGAGCCTCCCCTCCTGCATTCCCCCCCCCCCCCCCGAGAAAGAATGTCTGGAAGAAACACTGTTCTCTGGTGACTATTTATAGCAACAGTGAGACAAAAGTTATTTATGTAATGTAGTATTAAAGGAAGTGTCCTTGACATTAAGTGGCACCATGTAGAAATTGAATCCTTGAATGATGTAACATTCCAGTGTGGAAGTGACCTTGACATTAAGTGGCACCATGTAGAAATTGAATCCTTGAATGATGTAACATTCCAGTGTGGAAGTGACCTTGACATTAAGTGGCACCATGTAGAAATTGAATCCTTGAATCGTGTAACATTCCAGTGTGGAAGTGACCTTGACATTAAGTGGCGCCATGTAGAAATTGAATCCTTGAATCATGTAACATTCCAGTGTGGAAGACCATGATGACCTGACCCCCATCTTCAACCGCCAGAGTGAGATGCTCCACAACACGTACGGGGACTACTTTCTAGCAGAGCTGATTGAGGCGCAGGATGCTGATATGCAGTGTCTTGTTGCTGAGGTGAGGGGGGGGGGGAGATGGGGAGGGGGGGGAGGTTGTGAGATATGGAGGGGGGTGTGAGCTGGGGGGGATGTTGTGAGATGGGGAGGGGGGTGGGCAGCTGATTGAGGCGCAGGATGCTGATATGCAGTGTCTTGTTGCTGAGGTGAGGGGAGGGGGGGGGGGAGGGGGGTGTGAGCTGGGGGGGATGTTGTGAGATGGGGAGGGGGGTGGGCAGCTGATTGAGGCGCAGGATGCTGATATGCAGTGTCTTGTTGCTGAGGTGAGGGGAGGGGGGGGGAGGGGGGTGTGAGCTGGGGGGGATGTTGTGAGATGGGGAGGGGGGTGGGCAGCTGATTGAGGCGCAGGATGCTGATATGCAGTGTCTTGTTGCTGAGGTGAGAAGGGGAGGGGGGTGTGAAGTGGGGAGGGGGGTGTTGTGAGGTGGGGAGGGGGGTATGGGGTCTGATTGAGGTCCAGGAGGCTGAAAGTCTTGTCACTGAGGCGAGAAGGGAGGATGAGAGGGGGGGCTGAGGTCAGAAGAAAGGGGGAGGGGCAGGCTAATCTGAGGTGAGGTGAGGTGGGGAGCGAGGGAGGACTAAGTGAGGCGCAGGTTGCTATATCAAGTAGCTGAGCTGAAGTGGGATTTACATTGAAGGGGGTGGTCAGAAAAATAATAGCCCAGTAATTGCGGTTAAGGTGGAGAATTATCTTATGTCTTAATTTTGTCTAATAAAGGTGATTAAATTATAGTATGCCTTAATTTTGTCCTATTAAGGTAGATAAATTATCGTATACCTTAATTTTGTCTAATTAAGGTGGATAAATTATCATATACCTTCATTTTGTCTAATTAACATGATTAAATTATCTTATGCCTTAATTTTGTCTAATTAAGGTGGAGAAATTAACTAGGCCTTAATTTTGTCTGATTAAGGTGGAGAAATTAACTTAGGCCTTAATTTTGTCTAATTAAGGTGGAGAAAACATCCTATGGTTTTATGAGCATCAGCACGGATGTGAACCTTGACCTCCTCAACGAATGTTTTGAGCTGATCCCGTTCAATGGTCTGAGGAAGCCACACCCTGATGACATCATCCAACCTACGGACTCCGCTTCCCTTTCCCTCCTGTCTGATAAAGAGGAAGACACAGGTACGTACGTCTAGTTCAAAGTGAACCTGTATATAGATGTTGGTTAAGAGAAATAGATAATTGCTTTTTTTCTATTGATATTGCAACATCTGGCATCTCTCATTATCAGGCTTTGTGCTTAGATTTCCTATGTATAATCATCCAGTGGTACATTAGAATATGGATCCATATTGATAATACTGTTTTAATATAAAAAAGATTTATTAGCTTTAAATTGTACAGATTTGTGTGGGGTTAGCATGGTCAAGCCAATGAAGCTCATCGTTGCTAAACCGAAATGTTTTCAATTCAACCCCCCTTGCAGATAAGGTTCAATAGCTGAGGACACAAACCCATCTAGGAGAGAAAACTCTAAAATCGAAAAACTGCTGCCTTGTCGTTTATTGTTGGATAACAAAGGCTATGGAAGCAAATCCAGAAAGAAAAGCAGGCTGGGTCCTTAGCATATTGGCATAACATGTTGACACGTAATATTTAATTGTGTTGGAGGAAATAATATCCAACATAACAATTAAGAACAAAGAAGACATTCAGATTTTTAACAACATATCATTTACTATTCTTTTTTATTAAATGTATGTGCATCTGCATTCTTCATAATTGTCTGTTTTTAAGTGTTACTTTAGATTATTAAATAAAAACAGTTCTAAACCCAACCACCTTTACTTTCCCTAACATGGCTCCACTTAGGGATGGCAAGTATCAGATCCGAGCTCAATACTTTTGGGTTATCATTCAAATGCTCTATTGCCCAACCATGACATTCCATAATGGACATATAAACCATAGCCAAATGACCTGAGTTACCAACCAGTGCCAGACTGTCCCTATGGACCTCACTGGTTTTGATAAGTAACATTTCTAAACACAGTCGTAACATTTATCAACACAGACCTAACATTTATCAACACAGACCTAACATTTATCAACACTGCCGTAACATTTATCAACACCGCCGCAACATTTATAAACACCACCATAACATTTATCAACACAGCCGTAACATTTATCAACACAGTCGTAACATTTATCAACACCGCCATAACATTTATCAACACAGACCTAACATTTATCAACACAGACCTAACATTTATAAACACCACCATAACATTTATAAACACAGACCTAACATTTATCAACACAGACCTAATATTTATCAACACCGCCGTAACATTTATCAACACAGCCGTAACATTTATCAACACAGACCTAACATTTATCAACACAGACCTAACATTTATCAACACACCCGTAACATTTATAAACACCGCGGTAACATTTATCAACACAACCGTAACATTTATCAACACTGCCGTAACATTTATAAACACTGCCGTAACATTTATCAACACAGCCTTAACATTTATCAACACAGCCATAACATTTATCAACACAGCCATGCAATTTATCAACACAGCCGTAACATTTATCAACACAACCGTAACATTTATCAACACAGCCATAAAATTTATCAACACAACTGTAACATTTATCAACACAGCCGTAACATTTATCAACACAGTCTTAACATTTATCAACACAGACATAACATTTATCAACACAGCCGTAACATTTATAAACACCGCCATTACATTTATAAACACAGCTGTAACATTTATCAACAGAGCCGTAACATTTATCAACACTGCCGTAACATTTATAAACACCGCCGTAACATTTATAAACACCGCCGTAACATTTATAAACACTGCCGTAACATTTATAAACACCGCCGTAACATTTATAAACACTGCCGTAACATTTATCAACACCGCCGTAACATTTATCAACACAGCCGTAACATTTATCAACACCGCCATGCAATTTGTCACTGTTCCAGTTGCGTCTGAGACAGAGGGTACTAAAGTGGATGATGCTGTGCCAGAGAGCAGTTGTAAAAGAGACAGTAGAGTTAACTCAAGTAAGTTACTGCTTATGTGGACAGACATACATACATAAATACACGAATAGGCAGATTTTTGTAATAGATGTGTATGTATACATATATACATACATACAGATGTGTATGTAAGTATGTATGTATTTACAGATCTTTATATAGAGAGAGTGATATATAATATATATATATATATATATATATATATATATATATATATATATATATATATATATATATATATATATATATATATATGTAAGCCCTATAATTTATTTAATTTTTTATTATTTATTTAAAATAAAATGTCAGCTTTTATTACATCATCATCATACATTACACAAATACAAATTTTAAATCATTACTTAAATATATATTCTACTTGAATTAAACTGTATACCAACATGAATTATTCACAGTGAACATTGTGACATAAGAGACAGTGAAGAAAAACTCACAGTAAACTTTATCATCAATTCCTGTACATGCCCAAGTAACATTGGGCAGATGAAGTAGAGTTTATCTGTTTCAATTACCTCGGCATATAAGGGGATAATGGGGTCAGCAGTATCCCCAGCCACCTTTACTTTCCCTAATGTAAGTCAGGTACCCATCAGAGCTGGATGGACTCAGGAAGGTTCCTCTGACTTTAACCCAGATTTGAATTCGAGACATTCGGGTTACCAGTCACAACTTATAACAGAGATCCAAACTCAAGAACTTTGAGCTAGCTGCCAAACACCCTACCATTCGACCACTCTGTCTAACACTAGACTTAGCATAATGTAATAACTTGGGTCTTCTGAAGATTTGACGACCCCCAACTAGACTTAACGTAACCTAATAACTTGGGTCTTCTGAAGATTTGACGACCCCCAACTAGACTTAGCATAATGTAATAACTTGGGTCTTCTGAAGATTTGACGACCCCCAACTAGACTTAGCATAATGTAATAACTTGGGTCTTCTGAAGATTTGACGACCCCCAACTAGACTTAGCATAACCTAATAACTTGGGTCTTCTGAAGATTTGACGACCCCCAACTAGACTTAACATAACCTAATAACTTGGGTCTTCTGAAGGTTTGACGACCCCCAACTAGACTTAGCATAACCTAATAACTTGGGTCTTCTGAAGGTTTGATGACCCCCAACTAGACTTAGCATAACCTAATAACTTGGGTCTTCTGAAGGTTTGATGACCCCCAACTAGACTTAGCATAACCTAATAACTTGAGTCTTCTTAAGATTTGACGACCCCCAACTAGACTTAACATAACCTAATAACTTGGGTCTTCTGAAGATTTGACGACCCCCAACTAGACTTAGCATAACGTAATAACTTGGGTCCATTCAAGATTTGACGACCCCCAACTAGACTTAGCATAACCTAATAACTTGGGTCTTCTGAAGGTTTGACAACCCCCACAAGAAAAGATCTGAGACTCAGTGATGCTGGGTCCACTGGCTTATTTGATGTCACCTCTACAACCCTGAATGAAGACACCAAACTTGACGATGAAATCCACAAAATCAATGTAAGTTTGAAGTGTAATACACATTTTTTTTTCTTAGAAAATGAATAAGGTTAGAAAATAAAAATATATTTAAATAGCGAGCTTTATCATAAGAAATAATAAATAGAAACACTTCTGACTAAAGTCCTTGTTCTGGAATCCTTACGGTGCACATCTAAAAATGTAATGTCATGTCAAAGAAATAACAAATCAAATTAATTAGTTTATCCTTGTGGCTTCCTGTGGATCATAAGTTTGCAAAACTCTACCATGCCTCCCTGGTGGGCATAAGGCAGCAACAAGACTTCACCTTGACTCAGTGTGCTGGATGAGTCACCTGAGTTGATGCCAGAGACGTAGCGATCCGATACCGATACTCTCAATTTTGCCCCCACTCCCATTCCATTTATACATAAATATTTATGTTGTTGAAAAAACGCTCCCCCCCTCCTTTAACTTGGAAAGGTCGGGGCACTTTTTACCAGTCACTTTTTATTACGGTGTCACACATTCGATGTAGAATATAAGTCCGTAAAGCCAGTTAACAGTCTAATGTCTTAACCTAAACTGTGAGTAATTCACTAATGCTGCTTGGAATGAGCTTTTAATAATTTTTTCTACCCGGTTTGGTGCCCCCTTATGGTTGGCGCCTGGGGCGACAGCCCCACCGCCTTCCCCTCACTACACCTCTGGTTTATGCCAGAATTGACCTGTGTCCAATGCCTCTTCTCCCATCACTATTTGCTATTTTGGGCTAAATGAAATCTATAATTTCTGTTATTTGAAGTATCATTTGATGTAAAACAAAATTAAATCCTGTTTTTTTTTCACCACAGGCAAACTACCATTTGAAAACACCCCCCACACTGATGCCCCCACCCATCAAGAGGTTTGTGCCCACGTACTATGGGTTGCCCAATGCCTTTAGCATTCAGCTCTTCTGTATAGCAGAACAGTATGAGATGAGGTAAGATACAGAGCTTATAAATGTGTTCAAAGTGTGGTACACTTTTTACATTTACCAGTGTTTAATTAACAACTGACTTATTTATTTTAAAGTACTGTGCAGGTTTTTAATTAATCAATGTTTAATTTAAATCTGAATTAAAAGGCTTAAAACCCTATACAATTTTTTTTTATTAAATAATATTTTATTTAAATTGAGCTTAAATAGCTTGAAGTGCCATACAATTTTTAAAAAAAGGTTTTGATACAGTGTATCAAGTGTCTATTTTTAGATATTGTTACTCTACCCCAAGCTTGACTTCTAATGATTACCCTTAACTAAGCTGTTACAAAGTTGTATACAATACTTTGATACAATAGCCAACAAACTTTGCTAATGAAAACCATTTTTTTTTTATTTTATGAATTTAATTTGTTGCAATATTCTATTTAAAAATAGTATTTGCAAATAAATATTAGCATTCCTAAATAAACCATCTCTTGTCAATATAAAGTCATTGTTTTGAGTGAAACTTAAAGTAATTCTATTGTAAAACTTTTTTTGTTTGAATTTTCCAGATCTTTTGATTTCCTGCCTAAAGCCTTCTCAAAGTTCCCAGACCGAGACTTCTGCATCATCACAGTGCCTCATATGGTGCCAGAGTTTCCACTTATTCAGAACTTTGTGGTTGGTGTTCTAATTTTCTTTCTGCATTTCTTCTGAATAGCATTAAGCAATGTTATTAATATTACTCTGAATACATTTGAGGCAATATTATAAATATTACTCTGAATATATTTGTAGGCCTGCACTTATTTATTGTTTAGGTATATCTGTTAGGTAGAAATCTGTTCTTATTAATAAAAAATATTTGCTAGTAATTTAGACAATGTAAAAACATGCTTACAAATTTTAAAAAATTAGTTATGAAAAATCATCATGAAGGTAACCATGTTATATTAAGCAAAATACTTCAAAACAATTGATATTTTGAAATGTCATTGTAGAAATGTTATTGTAAATATATATATATATATAAATATAATCTAGGCAGGAGGAAATATGTTCTTATTAATGAATAATATAAGTTACCAATTTAGATGTTATAGAAATATGTTTAAAAATTCAAATTTTGCAAATTGTAACTTGCTCTGAAATAACCTTATTAAAATACTCATAAAAAATTTAGCAATGCAGTTATAAAAAAAAATCATGTGGTTAAAAGTTCAAATTTGACTGTTGTACTTCCCAGCGTGTGACACCAAAATGTCCGAGCATTTTACCACAAGAGCTGTATGTATTCCATCGCTCTGGTCTGCTTAAGTGAGTACACACCTTCTGTTGGGAAACATAGTCTATTTATAGCTCTGGTCTGCTTAAGTAAGTACACACCTTGTGTTGGGAAACATAGTCTATTTATCTCATGGTCTGCTTAAGTAAGTACACACCTTCTGTTGGGAAACATAGTTTATTTATCTCATGGTCTGCTTAAGTAAGTACACACTTTGTGTTTGGAGATATTGTCTATTTATTGCTCTGGTCTGCTTAAGTAAGTACACACTTTGTGTTGGGAAACATAGTCTATTTATAGCTCTGGTCTGCTTAAGTAAGTACACACTTTGTGTTAAGAAACTTAGTCTATTTATAGCTCTGGTCTGCTTAAGTAAGTACACACCTTCTGTTGGGAAATATAGTCTATTTATAGCTCTGGTCTGCTTAAGTAAGTACACACCTTCTGTTGGGAAACATAGTCTATTTATAGCTCTGGTCTGCTTAAGTAAGTACACACCTTCTGTTGGGAAACATAGTCTATTTATAGCTCTGGTCTGCTTAAGTAAGTACACACCTTCTGTTGGGAAAAATAGTCTATTTATCTCATGGTCTGCTTAAGTAAGTACACACCTTCTGTTGGGAAACATAGTCTATTTATAGCTCTGGTCTGCTTAAGTAAGTCCACACCTTCTGTTGGGAAACATAGTCTATTTATCTCATGGTCTGCTTAAGTAAGTACACACCTTCTGTTGGGAAACATAGTCTATTTATAGCTCTGGTCTGCTTAAGTAAGTTCACACCTTCTGTTGGGAAACATAGTCTATTTATCTCATGGTCTGCTTAAGTAAGTATACACCTTCTGTTGGGAAACATAGTCTATTTATCTCATGGTCTGCTTAAGTAAGTACACACCTTCTGTTGGGAAACAGTCTATTTATAGCTCTGGTCTGCTTAAGTAAGTACACACTATGTGTTAAGAAACTTAGTCTATTTATCTCATGGTCTGCTTAAGTAAGTACACACCTTCTGTTGGGAAACAGTCTATTTATAGCTCTGGTCTGCTTAAGTAAGTACACACTTTGTGTTAAGAAACTTAGTCTATTTATCTCATGGTCTGCTTAAGTAAATACACACTTTGTATTGGGAAACATAGTCTATTTATCTGATGGTCTGCTTAAGTAAGTACACACCTTCTGTTGGGAAACAGTCTATTTATAGCTCTGGTCTGCTTAAGTAAGTACACACTATGTGTTAAGAAACTTAGTCTATTTAACTCATGGTCTGCTTAAGTAAGTACACACCTTCTGTTGGGAAACAGTCTATTTATAGCTCTGGTCTGCTTAAGTAAGTAGTAAGTACACACCTTCTGTTGGGAAACATAGTCTATTTATCTCATGGTCTGCTTAAGTAAGTACACACCTTCTGTTGGGAAACATAGTCTATTTATCTCATGGTCTGCTTAAGTAAGTACACACCTTCTGTTGGGAAACATAGTCTATTTATCTCATGGTCTGCTTAAGTAAGTACACACCTTCTGTTGGGAAACATAGTCTATTTATAGCTCTGGTCTGCTTAAGTAAGTACACACCTTCTGTTGGGAAACAGTCTATTTATAGCTCTGGTCTGCTTAAGTAAGTACACACTATGTGTTAAGAAACTTAGTCTATTTAACTCATGGTCTGCTTAAGTAAGTACACACCTTCTGTTGGGAAACAGTCTATTTATAGCTCTGGTCTGCTTAAGTAAGTAGTAAGTACACACCTTCTGTTGGGAAACATAGTTTATTTATCTCATGGTCTGCTTAAGTAAGTACACACCTTCTGTTGGGAAACATAGTCTATTTATCTCATGGTCTGCTTAAGTAAGTACACACCTTCTGTTGGGAAACATAGTCTATTTATCTCATGGTCTGCTTAAGTAAGTACACACTTTGTGTTGGGAAATATAGTCTAATTATATATAGACTATCAAAATACTTTTAAAATAAAAACATCCTTTTTTGTCTATAACTTTTTTTTTAAACTGTTTAAAAGATTATGTTATTTAGAAGATTTTATTTTAAAATTATAATAAGTGTAAGGAAAATTCTACTTATAGACTGTCAAAATACCTTTAAAAATAAAACATCCTTTTTTTTTGTAAATAACTTGTCATTTTTTAAAGTATTCAAAGATTATGTTATTTAAAAGTTTTAAATTTGAAAACTATAATAAAAATAATTAGTAAAAACATAACAATTTATTTATTTCTTTGGTTTCAGAAACTTCAAGGTGCGCCAGGCTGTGAGTGGGGATTACGAGGCTGTGGAAAAACTTGTTGCCACTATAGACGGGAAGGAGAAGATTATGGCAGACCTCAAACAGTTTAACACAGCACGCAGAGACAATGTAAGTGTTTTTATAGCATTTCCTGAACTGTTCACTGTAGTTAGAAACATTGAAATGTAAAACATTTAGACATGTTAGAAAGATTGAAATGTAAAACATTTAGAAATGTTAGAAAGATTGAAATGCAAAACATTTAGAAATGTTAGAAAGATTGAAATGCAAAACATTTAGAAATGTAAGAAAAAAAAGATGGAAATGTAAAACATTTAGAAATGTTAGAAAGATTGAAATGTAAAACATTTAGAAATGTTAGAAAGATTAAAATGTAAAACATTTAGAAATGTTAGAAAGATTGAAATGTAAAACATTTAGAAATGTTAGAAAGATTGAAATGTAAAACATTTAGAAATGTTAGAAAGATTGAAATTTAAAACATTTAGAAATGTTAGAAAGATTGAAATGTAAAACATTTAGAAATGTTAGAAAGATTGAAATGTAAGGCATTTAGAAATGTAAGAAAAAAAAGATGGAAATGTAAAACATTTAAAGATTGAAATGTAAAACATTTAGAAATGTTAGAAAGATTGAAATGTAATAAAACATTTAGAAAAGTTAGAAAGATTGAAATGTAAAACTTTTAGACATGTTAGAAAAATTGAAATGTAAATCATTTAGAAATTATCAGAAAGATTGAAATGTAAAACATTTAGAAATGTTAGAAAGATTGAAATGTAAAACATTTAGAAATGTTAGAAAGATTGAAATGTAAAACATTTAGAAGTGTTAGAAAGATTGAAATGTAAAACATTTAGAAATGTTAGAAAGATTGAAATGTAAAACATTTAGAAATGTTAGAAAGATTGAAATGTAAAGCATTTAGAAATGTAAGAAAAAAAAGATGGAAATGTAAAACATTTAGAAATGTTAGAAAGATTAAAATGTAAAACATTTAGAAATGTTAGAAAGATTGAAATGTAATAAAACATTTAGAAATGTTAGAAAGATTGAAATGTAAAACATTTAGAAATGTTAGAAAGATCGAAATGTAAAACATTTAGAAATGTTAGAAAGATTGAAATGTAAAACTATTTTTTTAAATCTATTTGTATTATTTCAAGTTTGACACTATATATCTGTATACCTTGTTTCTTCAACTGAATTTAAAATAAAACATAATTATTATTTTAGTGTACATTAACATATAAATGAAATGAAATGAAGTAAACAAGTGAACTTTTTTATGTAGTTGGACTATATTTTTTTGTACCTTAATATCTTCAACTGAAATTAAATTAATAAATGTGAAATATTTCAGTACCAGTACTAAATTTGCGTATACTTTAATATATACTTAATTAAATGAAATAAACACACGTGAATGTAGTGGTACTATATTTTTGTACCTGAATATCTTTAATTTGATAAATTAACACATGATTTTTTATAGTAGTTGGACCACTTGTGTGTATCTTAATAACTTTAATAACTTTAATAAAATAAAATTTACATTTACACAAGTTTTTTAAAGTAGCAGGACTATATTTTTTGTACGTTAATAAATAAAATTAACACATGGAATTATTTTTAAGTAGTGCGAGTTTACTTGTTGTAGTTGAATATCTTTCAATGAACTAAAATGAGAATGTGAACCGTTTCAGGATGGGACAGAAATACAAAGTTATGTTGGTGAATGCCTGGGACAAATTGTTGGTGTTGCTATTATGAGGAGGGAAGAGGTAGTTGCTTCATACTCAATCATATGATAAAACTTTACAAAGTCTTCAAATTTGTTTGATTTTATTTTTAATTTTATCACCAATAAATTAACAAATGATTAAAATATTTTGTTTTAAAATATTTTTACCTCCAACAGTATAAAAAAACAGTTTTATAACAATTATCTCCGTTTGAATATTATTTTGCTAAAAGCTACTGATTCAACCTCACTTCTTCACCCCACCCCCCCTTCCCCTCTAGGATATTGAGTTCATCCGCTCCCACTACAACATCGAGGACTTCATTTACTTCAACCACCACAGCAGGGAGGAGCACGGCCACCTCCACCACTTTGTTCTCAACCCCGTCTTCAGCCACTTCACCAAACATTTCTTTAAGGTAACATTTAGCCACTTCACCAAACATTTCTTTAAGGTAACATTTAGCCACTTCACCAAACATTTCTTTAAGGTAACATTCAGCCACTTCACCAAACATTTCTTTAAGGTAACATTTAGCCACTTCACCAAACATTTCTTTAAGGTAACATTTAGCCACTTCACCAAACATTTCTTTAAGGTAACATTTAGCCACTTCACCAAACATTTCTTTAAGGTAACATTTAGCCACTTCACCAAACATTTCTTTAAGGTAACATTTAGCCACTTCACCAAACATTTCTTTAAGGTAACATTTAGCCACTTTACCAAACATTTCTTTAAGGTAACATTTAGATCTGCAGCCACTTCACCAAACATTTCTTTGAGGTAACATTTAGCCACTTCACCAAACATTTCTTTAAGGTAACATTTAGATCTGCAGCCACTTCACCAAACATTTCTCTAAGGTAACATTTAGCCACTTCACCAAACATTTCTTTAAGGTAACATTCAGCCACTTCACCAAACATTTCTTTAAGGTAACATTTAGCCACTTCACCAAACATTTCTTTAAGGTAACATTTAGCCACTTCACCAAACATTTCTTTAAGGTAACATTTAGCCACTTCACCAAACATTTCTTTAAGGTAACATTTAGCCACTTCACCAAACATTTCTTTAAGGTAACATTTAGCCACTTCACCAAACATTTCTTTAAGGTAACATTTAGCCACTTCACCAAACATTTCTTTAAGGTAACATTCAGCCACTTCACCAAACATTTCTTTGAGGTAACATTTAGCCACTTCACCAAACATTTCTTTAAGGTAACATTTAGCCACTTCACCAAACATTTCTTTAAGGTAACATTTAGCCACTTCACCAAACATTTCTTTAAGGTAACATTTAGCCACTTTACCAAACATTTCTTTAAGGTAACATTTAGATCTGCAGCCACTTCACCAAACATTTCTTTAAGGTAACATTTAGCCACTTCACCAAACATTTCTTTAAGGTAACATTTAGATCTGCAGCCACTTCACCAAACATTTCTTTAAGGTAACATTTAGCCACTTCACCAAACATTTCTTTAAGGTAACATTTAGGTCTGCAGCCACTTCACCAAACATTTCTTTAAGGTAACATTTAGCCACTTCACCAAACATTTCTTTAAGGTAACATTTAGCCACTTTACCAAACATTTCTTTAAGGTAACATTTAGCCACTTTACCAAACATTTCTTTAAGGTAACATTTAGCCACTTCACCAAACATTTCTTTAAGGTAACATTTAGCCACTTCACCAAACATTTCTTTAAGGTAACATTTAGCCACTTCACCAAACATTTCTTTAAGGTAACATTTAGCCACTTCACCAAACATTTCTTTAAGGTAACATTTAGCCACTTCACCAAACATTTCTTTAAGGTAACATTTAGCCACTTTACCAAACATTTCTTTAAGGTAACATTTAGCCACTTCACCAAACATTTCTTTAAGGTAACATTTAGCCACTTCACCAAACATTTCTTTAAGGTAACATTTAGCCACTTCACCAAACATTTCTTTAAGGTAACATTTAGCCACTTCACCAAACATTTCTTTAAGGTAACATTTAGCCACTTCACCAAACATTTCTTTAAGGTAACATTTAGCCACTTCACCAAACATTTCTTTAAGGTAACATTTAGATCTGCAGCCACTTCACCAAACATTTCTTTAAGGTAACATTTAGCCACTTCACCAAACATTTCTTTAAGGTAACATTTAGCCACTTCACCAAACATTTCTTTAAGGTAACATTTAGCCACTTCACCAAACATTTCTTTAAGGTAACATTTAGCCACTTCACCAAACATTTCTTTAAGGTAACATTTAGCCACTTCACCAAACATTTCTTTAAGGTAACATTTAGCCACTTCACCAAACATTTCTTTAAGGTAACATTTAGCCACTTCACCAAACATTTCTTTAAGGTAACATTTAGCCACTTCACCAAACATTTCTTTAAGGTAACATTCAGCCACTTCACCAAACATTTCTTTGAGGTAACATTTAGCCACTTCACCAAACATTTCTTTAAGGTAACATTTAGCCACTTCACCAAACATTTCTTTAAGGTAACATTTAGCCACTTCACCAAACATTTCTTTAAGGTAACATTTAGCCACTTCACCAAACATTTCTTTAAGGTAACATTTAGCCACTTCACCAAACATTTCTTTAAGGTAACATTTAGCCACTTCACCAAACATTTCTTTAAGGTAACATTTAGCCACTTCACCAAACATTTCTTTAAGGTAACATTCAGCCACTTCACCAAACATTTCTTTGAGGTAACATTTAGCCACTTTACCAAACATTTCTTTAAGGTAACATTTAGCCACTTCACCAAACATTTCTTTAAGGTAACATTTAGCCACTTCACCAAACATTTCTTTAAGGTAACATTTAGCCACTTCACCAAACATTTCTTTAAGGTAACATTTAGCCACTTCACCAAACATTTCTTTAAGGTAACATTTAGCCACTTCACCAAACATTTCTTTAAGGTAACATTTAGCCACTTCACCAAACATTTCTTTAAGGTAACATTTAGATCTGCAGCCACTTCACCAAACATTTCTTTAAGGTAACATTTAGCCACTTCACCAAACATTTCTTTAAGGTAACATTTAGCCACTTCACCAAACATTTCTTTAAGGTAACATTTAGCCACTTCACCAAACATTTCTTTAAGGTAACATTTAGCCACTTCACCAAACATTTCTTTAAGGTAACATTTAGCCACTTCACCAAACATTTCTTTAAGGTAACATTTAGCCACTTCACCAAACATTTCTTTAAGGTAACATTTAGCCACTTCACCAAACATTTCTTTAAGGTAACATTTAGCCACTTCACCAAACATTTCTTTAAGGTAACATTCAGCCACTTCACCAAACATTTCTTTGAGGTAACATTTAGCCACTTCACCAAACATTTCTTTAAGGTAACATTTAGCCACTTCACCAAACATTTCTTTAAGGTAACATTTAGCCACTTCACCAAACATTTCTTTAAGGTAACATTTAGCCACTTTACCAAACATTTCTTTAAGGTAACATTTAGATCTGCAGCCACTTCACCAAACATTTCTTTAAGGTAACATTTAGCCACTTCACCAAACATTTCTTTAAGGTAACATTTAGATCTGCAGCCACTTCACCAAACATTTCTTTAAGGTAACATTGAGCCACTTCACCAAACATTTCTTTAAGGTAACATTTAGGTCTGCAGCCACTTCACCAAACATTTCTTTAAAGTAACATTTAGCCACTTCACCAAACATTTCTTTAAGGTAACATTTAGCCACTTTACCAAACATTTCTTTAAGGTAACATTTAGCCACTTCACCAAACATTTCTTTAAGGTAACATTTAGCCACTTTACCAAACATTTCTTTAAGGTAACATTTAGCCACTTCACCAAACATTTCTTTAAGGTAACATTTAGCCACTTTACCAAACATTTCTTTAAGGTAACATTTAGCCACTTCACCAAACATTTCTTTAAGGTAACATTTAGCCACTTTACCAAACATTTCTTTAAGGTAACATTTAGCCACTTCACCAAACATTTCTTTAAGGTAACATTTAGCCACTTCACCAAACATTTCTTTAAGGTAACATTTAGCCACTTCACCAAACATTTCTTTAAGGTAACATTTAACCACTTGACCAAACATTTCTTTTAGGTAACATTTAGCCACTTCACCAAACATTTCTTTAAGGTAACATTTAGCCACTTTACCAAACATTTCTTTAAGGTAACATTTAGCCACTTCACCAAACATTTCTTTAAGGTAACATTTAGCCACTTCACCAAACATTTCTTTAAGGTAACATTTAGCCACTTCACCAAACATTTCTTTAAGGTAACATTTAGCCACTTCACCAAACATTTCTTTAAGGTAACATTTAGCCACTTCACCAAACATTTCTTTAAGGTAACATTCAGCCACTTCACCAAACATTTCTTTAAGGTAATATTTAGCCACTTCACCAAACATTTCTTTAAGGTAACATTTAGCCACTTCACCAAACATTTCTTTAAGGTAACATTTAGCCACTTCACCAAACATTTCTTTAAGGTAACATTTAGCCACTTCACCAAACATTTCTTTAAGGTAACATTTAGCCACTTCACCAAACATTTCTTTAAGGTAACATTTAGCCACTTCACCAAACATTTCTTTAAGGTAACATTTAGCCACTTCACCAAACATTTCTTTAAGGTAACATTCAGCCACTTCACCAAACATTTCTTTGAGGTAACATTTAGCCACTTTACCAAACATTTCTTTAAGGTAACATTTAGCCACTTCACCAAACATTTCTTTAAGGTAACATTTAGCCACTTCACCAAACATTTCTTTAAGGTAACATTTAGCCACTTCACCAAACATTTCTTTAAGGTAACATTTAGCCACTTCACCAAACATTTCTTTAAGGTAACATTTAGCCACTTCACCAAACATTTCTTTAAGGTAACATTTAGCCACTTCACCAAACATTTCTTTAAGGTAACATTTAGATCTGCAGCCACTTCACCAAACATTTCTTTAAGGTAACATTTAGCCACTTCACCAAACATTTCTTTAAGGTAACATTTAGCCACTTCACCAAACATTTCTTTAAGGTAACATTTAGCCACTTCACCAAACATTTCTTTAAGGTAACATTTAGCCACTTCACCAAACATTTCTTTAAGGTAACATTTAGCCACTTCACCAAACATTTCTTTAAGGTAACATTTAGCCACTTCACCAAACATTTCTTTAAGGTAACATTTAGCCACTTCACCAAACATTTCTTTAAGGTAACATTTAGCCACTTCACCAAACATTTCTTTAAGGTAACATTCAGCCACTTCACCAAACATTTCTTTGAGGTAACATTTAGCCACTTCACCAAACATTTCTTTAAGGTAACATTTAGCCACTTCACCAAACATTTCTTTAAGGTAACATTTAGCCACTTCACCAAACATTTCTTTAAGGTAACATTTAGCCACTTCACCAAACATTTCTTTAAGGTAACATTTAGCCACTTCACCAAACATTTCTTTAAGGTAACATTTAGCCACTTCACCAAACATTTCTTTAAGGTAACATTCAGCCACTTCACCAAACATTTCTTTGAGGTAACATTTAGCCACTTCACCAAACATTTCTTTAAGGTAACATTTAGCCACTTCACCAAACATTTCTTTAAGGTAACATTTAGCCACTTCACCAAACATTTCTTTAAGGTAACATTTAGCCACTTTACCAAACATTTCTTTAAGGTAACATTTAGCCACTTCACCAAACATTTCTTTAAGGTAACATTTAGCCACTTTACCAAACATTTCTTTAAGGTAACATTTAGCCACTTCACCAAACATTTCTTTAAGGTAACATTTAGCCACTTTACCAAACATTTCTTTAAGGTAACATTTAGCCACTTCACCAAACATTTCTTTAAGGTAACATTTAGCCACTTTACCAAACATTTCTTTAAGGTAACATTTAGCCACTTCACCAAACATTTCTTTAAGGTAACATTTAGCCACTTCACCAAACATTTCTTTAAGGTAACATTTAGCCACTTCACCAAACATTTCTTTAAGGTAACATTTAACCACTTGACCAAACATTTCTTTTAGGTAACATTTAGCCACTTCACCAAACATTTCTTTAAGGTAACATTTAGCCACTTTACCAAACATTTCTTTAAGGTAACATTTAGCCACTTCACCAAACATTTCTTTAAGGTAACATTTAGCCACTTCACCAAACATTTCTTTAAGGTAACATTTAGCCACTTCACCAAACATTTCTTTAAGGTAACATTTAGCCACTTCACTAAACATTTCTTTAAGGTAACATTTAGCCACTTCACCAAACATTTCTTTAAGGTAACATTCAGCCACTTCACCAAACATTTCTTTAAGGTAATATTTAGCCACTTCACCAAACATTTCTTTAAGGTAACCTTTAGCCACTTCACCAAACATTTCTTTAAGGTAACGTTTAGCCACTTCACCAAACATTTCTTTAAGGTAACCTTTAAACCTGTAGGATAGCATGGCCTAGTGGTAGAGAAATAGACTGCTTTCCCTAAATTCTCAAGTTCGAATCCAGGTTAAAATAAGTTGAGTCCCTGAGTTCACCCATCTCAAATAGGTACCTAACTCACGTTAGCAAAAGTAAAAGTAGCTGTATATAGTGCTGACCACACAATCCCTTAATATGCGGAGGTCACAGAAACAAATTAACTCTACTTCACTTGCTCCAAGGAACATCAGGTTTGAAAAGAGAACTTAACTGTTATCATTTAAATCGACTTGAGTTCTTGAATAGAAATAACTTCCTTTTAGACGTTTACTTTTTTTTTTTAAAAAGGTAATTTTATTTTCTTTAAATTTAGGAATCATTTTAAATATGATGTTATAAAGATGTAATCCTATCCAAGTTTTTAAACTTGCCAGGAAATCCTGAGATTATCAAAGAAAACAAGCCTCTACTACCCACTGTACCCACCTTATTCTACTGACACTGTAAGTTTTTTTTCTTTACTATGCTTCATTTCTACAAGTGGAAGAATTTTATTAGCTTTTAAATTTTTTAAGTAAATGTGTTGGTTTTTTTTTTGTTATTTTAATTATTTCCCCCCCCCCCCCCCCTTTCTGAGAATACATATACAAGTTATTGTCAGTAAAGTGAGAAATCCAACAGTCTATTGAATGCCAGAAATAGTCTGAAAGATTAGGAAATAAATCTTATTTTGTGCTTTTGCTAGTCATTTTATAGAACTCAAAGTAGGCCAAGAAAGTGCAAAATAAACTTTACCCAGCAAAACATTTCCTACGCATATTCTTAACCTTAACATTACCATTTAAGAAGGTTTAACGTTAGTATTAGGTTTAAGTTCGAATGGTAATTGAGAGGGGGGTATTGTCCTATTGCGTTTAATTTGGTCAAAGGGGTTGATGTTACATGTTGTGTTCTCTAATCACTGGACTTATCTCTCTTGTCCCACATACTAACTCTTGTGTTTTATTTACAGGCTGTGGGCAAACATTCTCTGATCACTAGACTTAGCTCCCTTGTCCCACATACTAACCCTAGTGTTTTATTTATTTGTTGATCTAGGCTGTGTGCAAAAATTCTCTGATCACTGGACTTATCTCCCTTGTCTCACATACTAACCCTAGTGTTTTATTTACAGGCTGTGGGCAAAAATTCTCTGATCACTAGACTTATCTCCCTTGTCCCACATACTAACCCTAGTGTTTTATTTATTTGTTGATCTAGGCTGTGGGCAAACATTCTCTGATCACTGGACTTAGCTCCCTTGTCCCACATAATAACCCTAGTGTTTTATTTATTTGTTGATCTAGGCTGTGAGCAAACATTCTCTGATCACTGGACTTAGCTCCCTTGTCCCACATACTAACCCTAGTGTTTTATTTATTTGTTGATCTAGGCTGTGGGCAAACATTCTCTGATCACTGGACTTAGCTCCCTTGTCCCACATAATAACCCTAGTGTTTTATTTACAGGCTGTGGGCAAACATTCTCTGATCACTGGACTTAGCTCCCTTGTCCCTGTTAGAGCCAGAAGACAGATTGAGTATCCCGAGGGGTTGGGCATTAACGGACCATCAGAGCGGGTCAAGAAGAAAGTCCTGCCCTTTGCTCTCAACCACATCAACAGGAAACTTGTTCTAGAACCTAAGGTAGATACACTCAAATACTAACTGGTTCTGGAACCTATCGTCGATACACTCAGTCAAACACAAACTGGTTCTAGAACTTAAGGTCAGTGGTGCAGGCAGGATTTAGTCTAGGGGAGGAAGTCTAAGAACAGTATTCCATAAGCTTCTCATTGATTTTTCATTACTTTTAATATTTCTTCAAATACCTCACTAGGCATAACACATTGAGATGTCATACTTAATTTTGTTTGAAGGACCCCTCAGACTCTAGAATTAAGAACTAAGAAGAAAAATATCACTCTGTCCTTTTAGTTTTATGAACTCAAGGGAGAAAACTTGAGGCATGTTGCTATTATAGAGTAGCAAAATATAGTTTAAAAACGTACACAATTTTCTTAAAGTAATTTACAAATTCCTACAGGCAAACATGAGATCCAGCTCTACAGAAGTTGTTTATTGTATACATGATGAGATTCTTAGTACAGGAATTTTAGAAAGCAAACAGGGCTTTATGCTAAAGCTCAAATAAATTAATGTAACTATATTTCGTTGAAAGTGTGTCTTCATAACATTATTTGTCTTACCTTTCACAGGTCACGATAAATGCCAGAATTGTGGTCATTGGAGCCTCAGATGTTGGGTTAACTTTCCTGGAGACTCTTGTTTTCTGGTAAACTTTTATCGTCTGTCAACAGGCAACAATTTTTTTTACTGCTGTCGTCAGCAGCTAACAACGGCACATATCATAATACAATGGGGGGGGGGGGGGGGGAGATAAAGTAAAAATAAAAAGTAAAGATTTCTTTTTAAACCTAACGACCCATTGAGCAGATGAAGTAGAGTTCATATGTTTTTTTACCTCAGCATATGAAGTGATAATGGGGTATCCACTATTCCCAGCCGCCTTTACTTTCCCTAACTTGAATTAGGTACTCATCTCAGCTGGGTAGACTCAGAGACGTTCTACTGGTTTCACTGACATGAACCCGGATTTGAACTTAAGACTTTTGGGTTAGCAGTTTACCACTCTACTGCTAAGCCACACCATCTCATACGGGTTTGGATAAAGACACTATATGTTACGATTTTTATTGTAATTTCAGAAGGAAACAAACATACCTCAAAAAAAACTTGTGTCTATGACCATATAACTTATAGTAAACATTTGAAAGAGAAAACAAGCTGATATTTTGTAATTTATGCAGAATTAATGAGAATCGTTTGTGATCTTAAAATATTGTTTCTTAATTTACTTTTTAACAATGTCTAAAGGAATATAGACCTACTTGTAATTTTTGTGATCCATTACTGATTTGTTCCATTACTGATTAGATCCAACTTTTTCCCCAGCCCACATCTCAAGTTTAACAACATCACACTGATCTCCCCACATGGAATACCTGGTGACATGACACCCAATGAAATGAGAGATTCAGTCCTAGGGGAGAGGTCAGAGTTCAATTTTTCTTCAATAAGTTAAACCAAAAAAATATGTATTCTCCTCTTGCCATTAAATGAGGTATTTACAAACAACTGCTATGTTGCTATGTCATCTTGTATCTTATCATTAAAACTTAAGATCTCCAATGTCACATCAGATATTCTTCATGGTTATTTTTACAAAACATGACTTTTTATTCCAGCTACTGTTTCACAAAAGATGACTTTTTTATTACAGCTACTGTTTCACAAAAGATGACTTTACATTACAGCTACTGTTTTACTAAAGATGACTTTTATTACAGCTACTGTTTCACAAAAGATGACTTTTTTTATTACAGCTATTGTTTCACAAAAGATGACTTTTTTTATTACAGCTACTGTTTCACAAAAGATGACTTTACATTACAGCTACTGTTTTACTAAAGATGACTTTTATTACAGCTACTGTTTCACAAAAGATGACTTTTTTATTACAGCTACTGTTTCACAAAAGATGACTTTACATTACAGCTACTGTTTCACAAACGATAACTTTTTTATTACAGCTACTGTTTCACAAAAGATGATTTTTTATTACAGCTACTGTTTCACAAAAGATGATTTTTTTATTCCAGCTACTGTTTCATAAAAGATGACTTTTTTATTCCAGCTACTGTTTCACAAAAGATGACTTTTTTATTACAGCTACTGTTTCACAAAAGATGACTTTTTTTACAGCTACTGTTTCACAAAAGATGACTTTTTTATTACAGCTACTGTTTTACAAAAGATGGCTTTTTATTACAGCTACTGTTTCACAAAAGATGACTTTGCCAAGATGGCCTTGAGAACGTGGGTGAACGTTGTGTACGGTAAAATGTCAGGAATTAACAGGTCAGTGGTAGAATGCTAAATGTGGTGGATTGTTTGCATACTTGGATTGTGGGATTGTTTGCACATTTGGATAGTTGTATTGTTAACATACTTGGATTGTGGGATTGTTTGCATACTTGGATTGTGGGATTGTTAGTATACTTGGATTGTTTGCACATTTGGATTGTGGGTTGTTAGTATACTTGGATTGTGGTTTTTTTTTTGCGTACTTGGATTGTGGGATTGTTTGCATACTTGGATTGTGGGATTGTTTGCCTACTTGGATTGTGGGTTGTTAGTATACTTGGATTGTGGGTTGTTAGTATACTTGGATTGTGGGATTGTTTGCATACTTTGTGGGATTGTTAGTATATTTGAATTGGATATATTAGCACACTTAATTGTGTGAATTTTACCATACATGACCAAATAAAAATACACAATCTGTGGGTTCACTGGCATACATTGATTATGTGACTATCCACATGTTGTTAGTTGGGCTGGTTTCATGAGGTAAAGACTGAATCCATCCACCATGTGATGATCTACAGCATGCCCATCAGGATATGCCCTTCCACCATATATACATGCACCATATGCCTATCCACCTCATGCCCATTCACCATGTTGTCATCATTAAGCCCATCCACTACTGCTAAATTCTTTTATGCTCAGTCTACTTATGCTGATCCACTACATGCCCATCCACTTATGCCCTTCTATGCCCATCCACCATAAGCTCATTGGCCACTATTCCCTACATCCTGGAATCTTTTTGTATATTATAAAACCTGTGTCCAAAAATTTGCACAAAATTATTGTTTCACCCCCCCCCCCCCCCCCCTACAGAACGAAAAAACAGGTGATCGTCAACGGCGTGGACATCGTCCCCTTCGACCACCTGATCATCTGTACAGGCCTGCAGTACCAGGTCCCCTCCCCCACAGGGGTCACTGAGGGTCAGCTGCTACCCCTTGAGACCCTGGCTCAGCTGGCCAACCGCAGGTACACCGGGCAGGTGCCGCCTAATTTGTATCTGATTAACGACACCTTCGACGCCGCAGTGGCTTTGTACAGGGTGGAGCATAATTTACAGAACAGTAAGTTCAAAGGTCATAATTTGCATAACTGTAAGTTTATAAGGTCACAGTTTACATAAAACTGAGTTCAAAAGTCACAATTTACATAATAGTGAGTTCAAAATTTACAAAGCAGTAAGTTCAAAGATCATGATTTACATAACAGTAAGTTCAAAGGTCATAATTTGCATAACAGTAAGTTCAAAGGTCATAACTTGCATAACTGTAAGTTTATAAGGTCACAGTTTACATAAAACTGAGTTCAAAAGTCACAATTTACATAATAGTAAGTTCAAAATTTACAAAACAGTAAGTTCAAAGATCATGATTTACATAACAGTAAGTTCAAAGGTTAAAAATGTTCATAACAATAAGCTCAAAGTATACTGGTACTGTTACTTTGGCTGAAGACTTTTATTAGCATTGAATAAGTAACACACACACATACATATGGATGAAAATGACGTATAGTAATCCACACACACACATACACACAGCATGGATAATGATATAGGCACATACTAATAGACTCATTGAGCTTATATGGGACCTATTGTGTTTTAATTCAATCTGACTTTAGCATGGAAACTATGTCCAATATTGCTATTCAAATATGGTATAAGTATAAGCTTGGTTTAAATAAGGTAAATACGATTTGTGTATGTGGTGTAAAATAGTTCACAATTCCATGATGCCGTAATGCACCTAAACATTATGCCATCTGTCACCAGAGAATATCGTAGTGTATGGCTCTAAACATGTCATATGTCATTTGTCGCCAGAGAATATCGTAGTGTACAGCTCTAAACATTATGTCATATGTCACTAGAGAATATCGTAGTGTACAGCTCTAAACATTATGTCATATGTCACTAGAGAATATCGTAGTGTATGGCTCTAAACATTATGTCATATGTAATATGTCACCAGAGAATATCGTAGTGTACGGCTCTTAACATTATGTCATATGTCATATGTCACCAGAGAATATCGTAGTGTACGGCTCTAAACATTATGTCATCTGTCATATGTCATCTGTCACCAGAGAATATCGTAGTGTACGGAACCTAACATTATGTCATATGTCATATGTCACCAGAGAATATCGTAGTGTACAGCTCTAAATGTTATGTCATATGTCATCTGTCGCCAGAGAATATCGTAGTGTACGGCTTTAAACATTATGTCATCCGTGATATGTCATATGTCATCTGTTAAATGTCATCTGTCACCAGAGAGTATAGTAGTGTACGGCAACTCCATTGACAGCTACACCTTCATCCAGACCTTGCTCAAGTCTGGCATCAAGGGAGAGAACCTGATACTCGTGGAACCACCCGCCATAGATGTAAGTCTGTGGTTTAGTTATGACTAGTGTTCCTTGTTTCCTACAAAAGGCTAATCAGCCTAATCCTGACCAAAATTTTAATTCTAACTCCTGACTCTGAATAATACTCCTGATCCTAACCTTGACCTCTAGCCTAATTTCTATTGTGATTTTTGACCTGACTGCCCAAATCCTAACTCCTAACTGTAATTCCTTTCCTAACCCAAAATCTGACCCCTGTCCTACCTTTAACTCTTGACCCTAACCTTTTATAAACCTAACCTTAACTCAACAATCTTGACCCTAACCCCTTTCCTGACTCTAAATGTAACTCCTTTCCTAACATTAACTTTACAGTCTTGACCCAAATTCTAACCCCTGTCCTGATCCTAACACTAAATCTTTCCCTTTCTCTAACCTTAAAACCTCGACCGTAACCTGTTATGACCCTAACCTTAACTTTTGTCCTTCTCCTAACTCAAACTCTTTTCCTAAGCCAAACCCCTGTTTTAACCCAACCCCTGTCCTGACCCCAACCCCTGTCCAGACCCCAACCCCTGTCCTGACCTCAATCCCTGTCTTAACCCAACCCTAACCCTTGTCCTGACCCCAACCCCTGTCCTGACCCCCAACCCCTGTATTAACCCAACCCCTTTCCTGACCCCAACCCTAACCCTTGTCCTGACCCCAACCCCTGTCTTAACTTAACCCATCTCTATTGTCCCCTGATTTCAGGGTGTCTCACCTTTCAACAACCCATCTCTCCCCTGATTTCAGGGTGTCTCACCTTTCAACAACCCATCTCTCCCCTGATTTCAGGGTGTCTCACCTTTCAACAACCCTGAGATTGAAGACGAGCTGGTACGCTGCCTGGAGGAGTCTGGCGTCACCGTCTGCTTCGACTGTTTCCTTGCCAACTGGAACAACGGGGAGGGTGGGGCCGGGCACGAGATCAAATCCATCTCCATCAGCAACGCCACAGACTTTCAGTCGTTCAGTTGTGATGTAAGTCCTGGTACTGTCTTAACACACTTGCTAAACACAGTGTTAGCTAAACACAGTGTCTAAACACTTGCAAAACACAGTGTCTAAACACTTGCTAAACACAGTGTCTAAACACTTGCTAAACACAGTGTCTAAACACTTGCTAAACACAGTGTCTAAACACTTGCTAAACACAGTGTCTAAACACTTGCTAAACACAGTGTCTAAACACTTGCTAAACACAGTGTCTAAACACACTCACTAAACACAGTGTCTAAACACACTTGCTTAACACAGTGTCTAAACACACTTGCTAAACACAGTGTCTAAACACAGTGTCTAAACACATTCTCTAAACACAGTGTCTAAACACACTAAACACACTTGCTAAACACAATGTCTAAACACAGTGTCTAAACACACTTGCTAAACACAGTGTCTAAACACTTGCTAAACACAGTGTCTAAACACACTAAACACACTTGCTAAACACAATGTCTAAACACAGTGTCTAAACACACACACTAAACACAGTGTCTAAACACTTGCTAAACACAGTGTCTAAACACACTAAACACACTTGCTAAACACAGTGTCTAAACACACTTACTAAACACAGTGTCTAAACACACTTACTAAACAGTGTCTAAACACACTCGCTCGCTAAACACAGTGTCTAAACACTTGCTAAACACAGTGTCTAAACACACTAACCACACTAGCTAAACACAATCACTAAGCACATCAGCTAAACACACTTGCTAAACACACTTGCTAAACACACTCGCTAAACACACTGGATAACTAACCACACTAGCTAAACACAATCACTAAGCACACCAGCTAAACACACTCTCTAAGCACATCAGCTAAACACACTAGCTAAACTCAGTACCTAAGCACACTTGCTAAACACACTAAACACAGAGCATAAACACACTAGCTAAACACACATGCCAACTACACTTGCTAAACACACTCACCAAACTGAAGTGCTAAATGCACGCACTACACACATGTGCAACACACATTCAGCTAAAAAAAAATGTGTAGTTATCTGGGGTGTGTACACCACTGTGGGACTATGCCACAATATTAGAATCGTGTTTTAAAAACCAAAAGCTATTATTACAATTAGAGGGAAGCAGTGGTCAAGTGGTAGAGTATTTGACTGCTAACCCTGAGTTCGGATCTCTAGCTTGAGTTGATAGGATGTCCCTGAGTCCACCCAGGTATGATAAGTAACATATGTTACGGAAAGTATAAGTGGCTGGGTATTGTGCTCAAGACGCTATTCTTTCATAAGCTGAGGTCACTGAAACAGGTGAACTCTACTTCTCCTGCCCCATGGACCATAAGGTTGAACAGGGTACTTTACTTTTTTTATAGCAATAAAGAACAAAGAAGAAACAGCTTTAGAAATTTTTCTCCTTTTTTTTTACTATGAATCATTTGGTTTGTGTCTTTGAATATTTAATATGGTTCCTGCTACTAAAGTGAATTAATGCTTTTGTTTTGTTTTGTATCTTAAATAGGCACTCTTTTGCTTTTTCAAGAAGGATGTGAACTTATTTTCATTCAAAGGTACTTTTTTTTTCCATTCCTCATCATTTTATTAAGAACATTTTACTAGCTAAATTAATCAAATCAAGCTTGAATATTTAAGACTAAAATTGAAGCTTTGAATATTGTGTACTCACAATTATTCCTGAGTAGGACTATATTTGGATTACAATTAAAGCATTGTGTATTCAGGACTAAAGTTGAAGCTCTATGTATTTAGGACTAACGTTGAAGATTTAGACTAAAATAGAAGCTTTGTGTATTTTGAAATAAAAACTAAAGTTTTGTGTATTGACTAAAATTTGAAGCATTGTATATTTTGGACTAAAATTGACACTGTGTATTTTGGACTGAAAATGGAAGCTTTGTGTATTTTGGACTTACATTGAAGCATTATGTATTTTGACTAAAATTGAAACTTTATGTATTTTGGAATGATAATCTATCCTTAGTATATTTGGACTAAGATTGAAACTTCGTGCATTTTGGACTAAAATTGGTCCTGTATTTTAGACTAAATTTTTTTGTACTCAGGACTAAAATTGAAGCTTTCTGTACTTTGGACTAAAATGGAAGCATTACTCCACAGCAATGAACTCAGAGTGCCTGGTGTACGATGGTAAACTGGTCATCAACGCCACCTTCCACACCAACGACGTGTCCATACGGGCAGCTGGTCCACTGACCAAGTTCTCCAGGAAGTACCACTGTGAGGCCTGGACGCACGCCAACTTCAACTCTAGGGAGATCGGCATCGCTGTGAGTACATTTCATGTTAGCATCAGGGCCATCCACCATATGGCTTTTCACCATGAGACCATCCACCATGAGTCCATCCACCTTAAGCCCATCCACCATAAGCCCATCCACCATAAGCCCATCCACCATAAGCCCATCCACCATCAGTCCATTCACCATAAACCCATATCATAAGCCCATCCACCATGAGCCCTTTCACCATAAGCCCATCCACCATAAGCCCATCCACCATAAGCCCATCTACCATAACCCCATCCACCATAAGCCCATCTACCATGAACCTTACCACCATAAGCCCATCCACCATAAGCCCATCAACCATAACCCCATCCACCATAAGCCCATCCACCATAAGCCCATCCACCATAAGCCCATCCACCATAAGCCCATCTGCCATAAGCCCATCCACCACAAGCCCGTCCACCACAAGCCCGTCCACCACATGCCTATGCTCACCACTACATGCCCATCCCCTTATGCTCATCTTCTTATGAGTACTTTTCATGTACTTATAAACATGTACTTTCAAAACACACACACTTCCCATGATATAGGTACTGGAGTTATGGGTTGATGTGGTTGATTAATATGTAATCATTAATCTAATAATCCTAAGTTGGATTCAGCCTCATCTTCCATAAGTTGACCCTGAGTCCACCCAGCTCTAATGGGTACCAGACACAATTTCGGTAAACTAAATCTGCAACACATAGAACTGACTTCATAAGGCAATGCTACAGAATCAGGTGAACTCTACTACCACTGCTCTATTAAAAGTCACGACCAGAAAGGGTACACTTTTGTGTGTGTAGGATATGTAAGACCAATCCCCATTTTTTTAGGCTGATCCTACATTACTAGAACTGCCTGATGTCTTTGGGGTTTATTTCTTCTTTTGTTTCAACTCTTCTGTACAATCATGCATCTTTTAACTATTTTTTCCGTCCCAGTTTTTAAATCACATATCTATAATCAAGTAGACCAATTTATAGGATGTGCCGTAACTCTCACATATTTTATTGAGTAGGTTTCTTACAGGGGAAGTAACTTGTAATTTTGTCTTTCAATAAAATATTCAAGTTACCTCTCTTTTTGGAATTCCGTATACAATTACCATAAAACACTCAGTACTAATTAGCCTTTAATCTAGCAGTATAGAATTTTATTAAAAGGCTAGGTTGAGTATTTCTCTATTAACTAACTCAAGAATTTTTAATTTCCTCTTTAATTACATTGCATTTCTCTAAATTAACTGAAGAACAATATAATTTGAAACCATTACCGATTTCGTTCTCCAAGGTTGTATCGATGTATTTATTTTAAAACGAATAGTTATGTAATGTTAAATTTACTTAATTATTTTCACCATGCGCATGTATTTCTAATATTAAAAAAAACTATCCTTTTTCTATCAAAATTATGGAGTGAATCTGAAACTTATTGGGATTACTGATTGTATTAACAGTAACTAGGCCTTCCCCTCATAAGGAAACTCCTCTCTGAGGAAACCACGTTATTTTTTATTGTATTTATTTAGAAACACAATGTGGACTACGTCACATTTTGTGACACCCCATGAACCAACACTGTTGCCTATCAAGACTCATTTATATTAAGCTTTCCCAAAAAAACATGTGCCTGAGTTTCTTCCAGACATCTCTTCGGGAGCGAGGGCGGGAGGTCTTTGTCGCGTTCCCCCCCCCCCCCCCCCCTTGAACGAAATGGAATTTATGTAGAAAATATATACTTTTAACAGTGTCCGCCCCCTCCCCAGAAATGTTAGCCCCGCCCCCCATAAAAATTTCAAGTGCCCCCCTTCCCCCCCCCCCCCTCCGGAGAAGTCTGGAAGAAACACTGATATGTGATTATACCTATACCATTGTTCAACCTAGCTGTTACCCGTATACTTGTGTCATTTCTTTGAATTGTGTGGAAATTTTGTTTATATTAGCACAGGGGTTCTTAATCGGGCTCTATCCAACCCCAGGGGTTCGGTGAGTCAGTCTCAGGGGTTCGGCGGAAATCAAGACACACACCCGACTCATGTGATTCACGATCGGATTTTTGCCTTTACGGACGATAAAACTATTAAGAAGGGTTCGGTGAATTCGCATATGAAACTGGTGGGGTTCGGTACCTCCAAAAAAGGTTAAGAACCACTGCATTAGCTGAAGGACGCTTAAAAATAAAATCCTGGGACCATTGCTACGCCAATCATCATACACATGGCTATTCGCTCCGAGACTATTAACAAATCGTGACGACCTCGCTAAAAATAGGTCAAGTGATAAATCAAAAAGAATAAACACTGAAACTAAATATTACAATCACCACTTAATTATTTTATCGCACTTTTCTAAAAGCAGAAAAAAAATGTTTAAAAATCCCAAGCACGTAACGTAAAGATGAAATATTTGGATTGGAATTTAATTCGCAATTATCAGCGCATCATCGAGAATACGGGAGACGCATGCGTGCATATAATTAGTTTCGTTTGTCGTGTCCCTAGATTATGTATGGGTAGGTCAACGAGTACTTCATTCAGTTTTTTTTTCCTGATAGATTACCTCAATATTAGGGCCCGTGAAATAGAACAGCATTGTTGATATTTTTTTTTTGTGCGTTGGGATGGCTCTATGTGTGTAGCTATGTAACTATGTATGTGTGCATGTTAACATATCTTTATTAAACCTTTGGTGAAATTGAATAGTTACGTAATAACGGTGAGAGATTTCGCCACGAAATATTTTGCCAAGATGTATATATGGAGATTTAGAACTAAGGTATAGAACAGTGTATACATCTTGGGGAAAAAAACAAAATAGGACAGTTATATTATACTCACACACACATACACATACACACACACACACATATATATATATATACAGTGGCGTAGGCAGGGGGGTTAGACCCCTCGGTATAGATATATAAAGTATGAGGGGGGGTGTTAATCGAAAGTTTGTCCCCGGGTAAAAATTGGAACCCCCCCCCCCTTGAGACGATCCTGGCTACGCCGCTATATATATATATATATATATATATATATATATATATATATATATATATATATATATATATATATATATATATATATATATATATATATATATGTATGTATATATATATATATGTATGTATATATATATATGTATATATATATATATATATATATATATATATATATATATATATATATATATATATATATATATGTATATATATATATATATATATATATATATATATATATATATATATATATATGTAACTAGGGTAGGTCTAGCTACTAGTTACAAATCTGTTACAACTGATAACGAACGATAAGCCGCGACGCAGTATTACAGTCTGATGCAACCGATAGCAGGTGGCTTATTGGATCGGACTGATAACAATCTCAAAGCCAACGCGTGCTATTTTGGGAAACGGTACGAGGGGATTCAGACGGCCTGTCAACTTTGATTGATAGGATGCAGATGTTTTAATCGGGCTGTACGTTAGAACTGCGCAACTAGTAGTCGGAGACATCGATTACAAATATCGATGAATACAAGTACAAGGACGAGTACGAATACAAGGGATAAATAGGAGGGGACGGCGGAGCTCTCCCCTTTTTTCGATCGCTCGCTCTCTTCATCGCTCGCTTTAGATCAGTCAGTCTGTGTGACATATCAAGTTGGTTATATTGTGTTAAGAAGGAAATAGACATGTGGATTCAGTTATATGAAGCCTAGTGAGGACTGTTAGGGGTCAGTTGATTCAGACTATTATTGTGAAGCATTCCTGTTGATTCATTGTGTTATATTGAAGCATTTCTTGATTCATGTAATAAAAGGATCAATAGCGAACCTGCATCTTCGAGTCTTTCTACTGTAGTCGATGTTGTGTAGCATGAGTGGTTAAACTCGTTACATTTGGCACTACAGGCAAATAGTCTCGTAACATGTGGCGTTGCGAGCAGGGTAACTGTTAGCTCGTTACAATTGGCGTCGTCGGCAGTTAACTGTTCGCTCGTTACAATTGGCGTCGTCGGGCAGGATGAATTCAACTAGACTTGCCGTTTGAGGCACCCATAGTCAACCTTGTGCATAACTGTGTTTAGTGTGTGTGTGAATTCGGACATTCAGGAACTGTGAAAATTGAGGAACGAGGAAAATTTTTTCATACACACACGGTAAGAAAGAACTCTTTTTTTGTTACTTACGGAATAAAATGTCTACTCTGGACGAGAAGCAGACCCATATAGTGGTCCTACCCAGAGAGTCCCACATTAACAAATTTTACGGGGACGGTGATCCAACTTTAACCAACAGGTTCAGTGAGGAGGTCAAAGCGGCCTGGGCCTCGAGAGGCATGTCACCAGAGGAAAGATTAAGACTGCTGATGGGCAGTATAGGAGAGACGGTTAGGGCAGAGGTCAAATGCCACGATAAAACCGTCCAATCAGATCCAGATAAGGTGCTGGATCTGATTATGGAGACCTTTGGGGAGAGACGGTCGGGATCGCAACTGCTGTCAGGGTTCGTAGGCTTAAGGCAGAGAATGGCGGAGAGTGTGATGGAGTACTCACACCGGATGAACAGGGCCTTTGATTCGGTAAAGGGCAAAACACCTGACATTGATGTGCGCCTACTGAGGGACCATTTCATCGAGGGGCTAGCAACCCCGATCTTAAGGAGAGAGTTGAAAGAGGAGGTCCACAAAGACCCGCAGTCAGAGTTTCTTCCAGGCATCTCTTCGGGGGGGGCGAAGCCCCCCCCCGAAAAATTTTTATCGCCCCCCCGAACGAAATGAAATTTATATAATTTATATAGAAAATATATACTTTTAACAGTGTCCGCCCCCCCGAAGAAAGTTTACCGCCCCCCCGAAGATTTCAAGTGCCCCCCCGGAGAAAAAAGTCTGGAAGAAACACTGCCCGCAGTTGACCTTCCTTCAGGTCAGGAACTCAGCGATCCGCAGGTCCGAGGATGAGGACCAATCGAACTGTTCGGTGGACA